ATAAACTACATTTTGAAATATCGAACTATTTATCAAATCGTCTCATTACATTTTTAAGTTTTCAGCCAGCATTCTGTCTTTCAAAAGCTTCCAGAATATATATAAAAACCACTCAAGTTTCGACAAAGCCCATAAATGCGAATTGATGCTCAATCCTAAAGAATTTTACTTAATTACTTTGGCTACTCTGTTTTGTTATCAGTAGTATGATTCAGTATTAAAAGTAACTTAAGGCGACGGCATTAACAACCCATTTACTTAGGGTCAAGGTTATGTGACTACTTTGTACTTTGTACTTACATATATTTTATTTACATTCTAATTAAATCAATAGCCATTAATGAAATGGAACCCAATATGACGCATTTAAAATGGTTGTTTCATAATGTGAATCTGAATGAAGTAACGAATGTGATAAGTATATGATTTAAAATATGATTAAAAACAAATCCGATTACGGCTAATCCACTAAAACTGTCATTCATTAGGTAATAAGCTTACCACGTTAATCCCCTGTGATGATAATACATCACAGCACGAGGTTATTAGGCAGTTTAATGAAATGCGTCGAGCCATTCAGTTTGCATCTGAATAATAGAGTGATGGTCGAATAGCCTTTTTGGACGTTCTCTTAACTAAGAGAACGGATGGATCATTAAAAAGGAACTTAAACAGAAAAAATACCTGGACTGGGCAGTATACGCATTTCCTTAGTTTTGTGCCTCTACAGTGCAGACGAAACCTGATCAAAACCCTTAGTTACGAATACGCAATATATGATCTACGAATATAGTTAAAGATGAGCTAAACACCTTGCATAATACTCTTAGGGAAAACGGTCACCCTAGAAAGTTTATAATTAAATATATGATCATGAAAGTGAGAATAGGAGAAATACGAACGGTGAATAAGAAATCCCTGTTCATGCGCCTACAATTTAGAGGGGGTGCGACTAGTGAAATATTAACGGCGAGGCTATAATTTATGGACGAACCAACCACGTGTAAGATAACAGGTCTCGGGTTTTGGCGCGAAAGTCACTCATTCACTTGGCTAAATAGAGTTTTGGCATTATAGGTGATGTCACTTCGTGATGAAAACTCTAAATCTAAATTCTAACCCTAACCATCAACTGTGAATCATAATTATGATTTCTCACGCTGGTTTTTAACACTCATTTGGTTCTAGTTATTAGATGAACACTCTCAAGGTTACTTAAGCGTCGCTTAAAGGTCGTCCATAAATTGAAGTCTCACCATGTTAACTCAGAGATTATGCAAGAAAATACGAAAATCCTTCAATACCGGAGAACTACGATTGGTGGTTTCTACGCGCCCAATGGTGACACCGAGGCTAGAAGATGACTTATATAGAATGACCATCTCATTTGTCAGTTAGACTGCTCCTGTGGAGAAGTTATATTGGTCGAAGTTCTAAAAGTTTACATCTTCGTGCTCCGGAACACCTCCCAGTGTGGCTAAGAAAAGGTCTGGTGAAGAAAATGAACAGCTCGATATTGGGCCATTTAGTACAAACTGGTCATCGATGCCAGTATAAACCAATCCCTTTCAATTATTTATAGGGTTAGTAATTTTTCGCTAAAGTTGGTCAGACACAAAGTCCTTCAAATGGCTGCAGAAGTAACCATCCAGATGAAGAAACGGAGCTATTCAGACAAAAGAAATGTCTTTAATCACTCATCCTCCTCCTACCCTGGCCAACCTCAAGGCACATTAATCAATTACAATTGATTGATCACTGGGTGGTGATCAATGTCTTGCTTGTCTAGTCCTTATTAGTGCAGATCAAATGCTATCGATCATGTTGCAATGTGGCCACCAGTCTAGGTGACTCGACACTGCACTAATAAGGACTAGACAAGCAAGACATTGATCACCACCCAGTGATCAATCAATTGTGATTACATCTCAGTCCTACAGGAGGTTTGTCACGGCTCGGATAGCTCAGTGGTAACGTCTCTGACTGTGAAGCTGGGTGACACGAGATCGAATCCGCCAGGGAGCACCAGTTCCCTCAAGATTACAGGTACACCTTGCTGACGAGTGCCAAGTAGCACGAAACCCGGGTCCAGGGTTTCCTGTTGACTACCTCCAACCACTATCTAAATCTCAATACATTAATCAATACTAATCTTAACTATTGAATGACCTAATTTGACTACTGTACTTACGACCTTTCGTAGTCAAATGTAATTGTCTCCTTTATCTTCATTCACAAAACATTATTATTAGTCTCCCCAATACATGATTCATTTATTTCTCATTCATCCCACATTACTAATACTTTTTTTACACAATATAATCTTTCACTAAATATTTGATCGAATTGTAATTGCACTATTATTTCTCTCTCACCCTATTTGACCCATATTTATTCTGATCATGGATCTTTAATTTTCACTTAGCATATATACAGATTCAAGTTAACATTCTATATGAGTCATACCAACACTAACAATTTTATTCTATTTTGTTTGAAAATTCATACGGTTTAAACGGGTTTACTTTACCCGTAACCTGGCCATTTTTTGGATTATTAATTTGGATGTCTAGTTGTAGAACCTGAAGAGAATTTATCGAAAAGAATATTCTTCGTTCAAATGGTGAATAAAGATGAAAGAGACAATTACATTTTAAAACAACATATATAAGCGAACAATATTGTTTTCGATTAGGTCTTCATCAGGCTTTACTATAATATACAATAACATTTATATGCATATATGAAATTAGAGTTTAAAGTGCAAAATAGTAATTCCCTTAATGGGTATGTTTCCGTTTTGTTTTGCATTTTTATTTAATTATTACCGATATATGAAATTATTAAACCAATCAAGGTAGTTTATGAACCAATGATAACGATTACATAATATTTAAAACAATTAGTCCCATTGATAAATTTCGATAATGCAATGAGAAGACGAAGTTTATCAGAATTATGTGATATATTTGCGCAATACATTTCGAACAATCTGATCACACATATACTTGTTAAGACATTTGTTCTATGAAAATTAAGAGGTCCACCACACAGATTAAAGGTAAGCCGCAACACAGAAAAAAAGTACACAAAAACAAAAGTGATTACCACTCTGGATAATAAATCAGTATTACCAGGGTAGGTTAAGTGTAAAGACAAATTGTTTTTGAACACATAAAGGGGGTTTCGATTTCCGTATAACCAAGGCTTCCGTAAACCTTAGTATACGTCCTTGAAAGCTTTTGTATAACACTACAAATGCTGATTTGATGTCAACCTTATGACCCGTCTCAATCAAATGTTTCGCAATGGAGGATGATGTCTGTCTATCCTGTGATCTTATTCGACCATTGGAATTCATCTGATTCTACAACCATTTTGGTATATGTTCACCCACCCTTAATTGCAAATCACGATTGTTCCTCCCTACGTACGTGTTTCCACACATACATGTAAATTTATAGACACAATGGGATGTGACACAATCGTTTTCGTGCTGTTTGGTGAAACATAGACCTTGTCTTTTCGATAATGACAAGTTGGGCTGCATAAAATGTTCAGTTGATAGCTAATTTAAGTAGAGACGAAGCTCTTGACTGATACGTTAATGAATAATGGTTATTCTTTGAAGTTCATAAACCGCTGGAAGGGTTGCAATACGACTAGACCTATGACGCTTCTGGCACCCAAAAAGCGAGTTTATATTACGTTACCATTCAGAGGCGACACAAATAGTCTCATGTTGAAACAATCCACGGCCAATATCCTGGTTCTATGCACCATAACCTCTAAGTTGCTTTTTCAATCGTAATCGGTTCGGCTGTACACAGAAGCATTAACCTAAGTGTGCTTTGTTCTTTTTTCCTAGGATTTTTACATATTTCATCTACCTGTTTGCTTTACTTGTCAACTTATATTTTTCATCATTTGGTTGATTTTATGTCAATGTTATTGTGTCTGCTAATGCTTATGATTCATGTAATAACTTCAGGAATCTTTTTTTTTTTCAAAAATATTGATAGTAAGGGCGTAATTTATCTTGTTGTTGATGTTAGCGACTGAACCTCAATCAGTCTTTGTTAGCAATATGTATGTACCAAGACGTGATATTAGTTTATGAAATCAGTTAGCGTTCATTTGAACCGTGTCAATAGTGAATGGATATTACCTAGTTAGGGTCCGCACGAATATCACGAAATCAATGGTTACATATATTGGGTGAAATGGCTCAGAAGCATCCACGAACTTCAATATTTCATCTGATACTCTTTCTACTCCACGAATTCATATTTTTTTCTAGAATAATATTACTGATACCTAGTTTTTGCTAATACCACTAATACAGGTACTACTTTTAGTCGGACGTCTCAATGTGCTGATGTGGTGGGGGAACTTGAGCTAGGGTTCTACGTTGGGTATGATTGCAAATAACACTAGTATTTGTGTGCGAATGTGCGATCGACCGCTTAATTTGATAATTAAGTGTGATACGTCAAGTAACCGAAAGCTTAGACACCGACTTCCTACCTGCTTTCTAGCCCCCAGATATTTTGTATTCTCGAATCCTGAACAAAAGAAGCAAAAGGAAGTGGTAGATGAAGCTTTACTTCCAAGGTTAGTTCATGCACAGAAGACCTAGGTAATTATTTGACTAAATGTGGCGTTGAGCGTCTGAAAAATACACTAAAATTGGTAACAAGATCGGCGACTGCCCGATAGGATAATTACAACACAAACTGTCGTTTCCATAGAATTCTCTTGAAAGTTTCCAAAAAACACTGATTAGTCGGAGTGTTCTCCTATGTTCTGAAAACCTTTTTAAAGAATTATTGAGGCCTCCTAATGAAATGTGGATAACTGGTAGCTATTCATAAAAACTGAATTATTGACGCAAAGCTCCCTCAAGGAACGAATATTAAGAAATTGAACTAATTAGTGACTGGTTATTCCTTACTAGTAAAACATTGCACATAAATAAACATGATTAAAAATACGAAAAATTTAGTTGTAAGATATATTTCTTGTAGGCCACTTGACAATAAATAAAACAGAGATCTATCACACTTATTGATCGTTATATCAAATAGCGAAATTACGCCGCACCTTTCTAGGCTTCCCGGTTTGTCAAACTCATTGGATGAATTAACTTTACTCCGGTTTGTTTTTGACATACCGTCAATTGACGTTCAAAACCTTAGCGAGTATATGTTATTCATGTAAACCGGGATGATTAAATGAAAGAAGATCTGAAAGAAATATATTTGATCCTCATATCCCTGCTAATATATTAATCTAGCTAATATTCTTAAAGATATTTGAAGACGGACTATCAAATAATGTTACATGGTCTCTCTTAAAAATTCATCAAAACCTTCGAAAAGTCAACAGTTGAAATATGGATGACAGTGTCCCTGTGGGGATGAATCTGGACGGTGTGCAAATGAAAGAGTAAGAGAAAAAAGAAAACTGAAGTAACCACTTCCCTCTGTACGCGGATACGTATACACGCTTGATTGTAGGTGTATAAACGAATACAAAGAAATGAAAAGAAATTCAAACATGAATTATCTCCGAGCAATACCATTTATTACTACTATCACAGGACAACAAATAGTAGTATATGTAACTAATAGTGAATAACGATGAAATATAAGAAAAATAATAGAGATAAACGATATTTTAAGTGAAATAAAGATTTGAATTCATCTTTTTTCTTCTGGCAAAATAGTTGTATGGTAGGTATACTAGCATTTTTATACTTTGAAAATGAATTTTTGTATACTCTTTGTTTTCAATGTAAAATAAACTGTGTGTGTGTGGGGGGGTGATGTGGGTGGTGTCGTTGAGCTGACTGCAACCAAAATACAATGATAATAAGTGATTGTTTAGTTAAGGATTTTCTATCAAAGTATGAGAAATTCTTATGCAACAAAATCAATGTATTACATATTGCAGTAGATATTTAAATCTGTCGTATAAAACAATAATCCCATTATCATCATTGTACATTCATTCGTACAAAAGGATACGCTTCAGCGGATATGACAAAACAGAATTGAATAGACCACGCAATGACTGTTATCTTTCGAAAGTAAGTTATAATAATAATGATAATAATAATAATAGTAATAATAATAATAATAACAATAATAGTGATAGTAATAACGATAATAATAATAGTATAAACCGAACTACTGGATTCATCACCATTCAATATAACGTGATGCCCCCATTCCTTCGAACTATTCATGTTTGCTTATTATAATAATATTACTATAATCACATTATTAATTAATAAGGCAGTTCGAATTTCACATTTATAGCAGCTTCACGAGCCAAATGAACAATATTAGCGAGTTTAACAGACTGAAAAATTAAAAAATAAAAAATAAGGGCAATAAGCGAAGTTACATGACACAATAATAGTTTATTTCTCCGAAAAAAAAAACGTGAGGGTAAACAGTGTGATGGTAATTTGAATTCTAAATAAATAAATTGCTAATATTTACAGGTTATATGCATGACAGTGTAATAATAATGATGGTTCTCTGAAACGATGGAGTACATAGTGCTAATTAATTTGGATAGTTGAAGTTGGACTATCAGTGAATCGTTCTATGAATGTAAAAAGGTGGCTTGGTAGTCTGGGATATTCTCGACTTTTAGTCAACAAGATCACAGGTTTAAATTCCGTCCTGATGTACTTTGTCGTTTTCGGTAGTCGATAGGTAGTGTATCATTAACTCTTAAAATAACTAGATTATGACACAAAGTCCCGTCTACATAAGCTAATGTACTTGGTAAACAAAATGACACTATTCTATAAAGACATAACCAAACTTCCAATTCAGTGCACGATATTAGGTGTAAACATTAACTGTCAAATATGGGCGAACAAATGAGGGATGGGATAACATAAACAAATTGAAATTGACGTCTATGTAAATAAAAAAAGATTATACATTATTTATCGATTTGGTACTGAAGCAAAGATAAAGTCATCTCGAGATTAGACCTGAGTCAAAGTGATGGACATTTGAGAAGTGAAACTTGATTGGTTACCTGTTTTAGTTATTGGGCATAATAAACAATCCAATCTGAATTGAGGAAAAGACTGTTAAGTAGTCAAAAATGAATGACTTTCACTTTACATGACGTAAGATTAGTAGTAGAAATACTTTTATGTAGAGTTCAGAACGTTAAAAGTGATGACGAAAACTTAAGTATTTCCACCATAAGGTAGAAATAATGGTGTTAAACGTATCAGGTGCTCAATCTTTCTTATATAGAATGCATATAACATGTAAATAAACTGTTCCGAAATTTTGACCCTAAACCTTTAATCTTAACTGTAAGCCGAAATGATCTGGAGATTCGTGAAAATCTTCTTGACTCCTTATAACAGTTCGCGAAGACGGATGTTCCATATGCATTTAGGCCATTTTATATGAAGCCGTTTTCTCGGGTTACAGACGGAAAAACCTTTATATAATCTTAAACCATTAATGAATTATGTGAAATCTGTTTACACCTTGAGATATTATTGTGTTTTTTCTTCTCTGCAAAAGTTATTTCTTTGTAAAGGCTTCTTTCTGATTGGCTTAAACGGGCGCTTATTTTAAATTCATCCATATACTTTACTATTACTAGATTTATCCTTCAAAATATAAAATGCCTGATCAAAATAAACCTTTTTGGATAATGCTGAGGATACCTAAAATTGTTAGGAAGAATTCTTTTTGTTATATTATAGAATAAAACAAAAAGTGACAATGTTAAATATGCCAACTGTTTACTTTCTTTTCTATTTGAATCTAATATGACATGTTAATTAATCGGTGTTGATCTTAATTCAATTCGTTTTTTGGTAAACTGAAGAGAACGTCTTATCAGTAGTGACACATTGAATAATCGAGAACGATTCCTACGCACAACTTCATCTTATCAATACTTGTGTAATAACGCTAGTTCTTTTTGGTGGAGTATTGTTCTGTAAGCTAGATGGTTTGGTTGTGGAGCTTTCATCGTTCTTCTGAACGACATCATCAGCACAGACCTCAAGTACAAGTGAAGTGTTCGAATTTCTCTACATATGACTCGCAGCTTTTCCTGTAGATCTCGATCTTGATTGGTGATTGCTGACCACTAACCTGTCATTGTTTACTCCGTTATTTTGATTGTACCTACCATTCGAACACATCACTTCTATTTAGAGTGGCGAGTCTCTAATTTATGGATGAGCCAATCAGAATCGCCTGAGAGACTTCAAGGTCACTGTGCCAACTTCAGTGCTTAATGCTAACGCACGGTCGGTTCACAGGGAATTTTGTACAAAAGGTGATAATTGAGCGGCTATAAAAAATAAAACGGCGAGAATATAATTTGCAGAGGAATCAATCAGGTATAAGATAACAGCCTTTCATCCATTTGGCTAAATAGAGTTTTGGCGTTATAGCTGATGTCAGTTCGTGATGAAAACCACATATATAATTCCTAACTAAGGTAAATTATGACAACCATCGCGAACTGGATAATAAAAGCACCAGTAACACCAGCTGCAGCGAGGTACTGCAATATATGCGGATGAGTGGAGAGCGTATAGACTCCTACATAGACTTGGTGATGTGCATCGTGTCGTTACCCATAAGTGGCATTTTTGGGACTAACATCGGAGTGCACACAAACAATATTGAAGCTATGTGGTCGAGGCTGAAAGAGTTTTTGCGACCTTATCATGGCTCCAGAGGCCGACTATTCTGTAGCTATATTGATGATTTCCTCTACTGCATGCATTAAGATTTTAGAACCTCTGAACCTCTTTCTAACCTTGACAAGTTTTTGAACCACGTATAAGGAGTGTATCCACTTTATTTCTTTGGTTTTGTATAATATATTTTTACTCTATATTGACTGTTTGCTGATTGGCTAGTATTCCTCAAGGTCTATTAAGATTCGCTCAAAGGTCGTCCATAAATTATAGTGTCGCCCAAGCCAGCACCACGATCATCCACTTGAGCTGCAAATCTTCTCCACGCTAGTTCTTCGCTTATCATTTCATTTTTATAATTTTTCAGCGAATGTATGAACAAAGAATTCAAAAAATGAGATGATAAATTTTGAAATTAAAACTATTTATGACTTATGAGAAAGATTTAGAAAGAAACATTTAGTGTGTGTGTGTGTGTGGATAAATTGGAACCACACACACAGATTAATGAGGTTACTTAGAGAGATGGGAACAATAACGGGGTGGATTGGCATGCATATAGCATACAATTCTCTTCGAACATAGCACACAACAATAGTATCATGCACTGCCTCATCGCCCTTGGCAGATCAGGCAACCCGAAAGTGACGAGAACACCATCAAGGCATACGACAGGCCAGGTACGTAGAGAGAGAGATTTCTATAAAATTAGGATTTGGAAATCTAGTAATACACTTTTGCATAATCATAAACTTTCTACTTATTGACTGAGATGAAGAGTTTCCAATTTATGTGAACATTTTTTAAAAGAACAAACTAAGCAACCAGTTCATCCCAAACACTATACTTTTATTCAACTAACAATAGAAATACCAGCTATGTATGAATAATAATAATAATAATAATAATAATAATAATAATAATAAGAACACAACGAAATTCTGAAATGAAACATACCATTTGAGCAGCTTCATCTAAATCACTACAACCTAGAATTTTCATATGACTTGTAGCAAGAATTGCTTTAGCGTCTTCAACTCTAGTCCCTTAGTATTTTTATTTATTTATTGATGTTATTAATAGTGATTGGTTTTTGTTTGTTTGTTAGTTTTGTGGGAAAATATATTGTGAAAATGAAAAGAAAACAATAATAATATAAATAGTACTAATTAAAATGTATTAAGGGATATTTTTTGCAAAATAATTACTTCCATTTGATAAAAAAATAACTCGAGATGATTAGCATAATACATACTTACATAGAAATCATGTGCTCACTAGTCATTGATTTTAAAAGGTGATTATTCCTTGAGTTCTAGTAAGAAGCTATAACTGATGAAGTTCAATTATATTGGATGATAAGCTAATCATCCAATATCAATGACCATTGAAAAATGGTTTTAAAATATTGTAAATTGATTGAAGATAGATATAGAAACACTATTAGATACCGGTTAATTAATCTAAACGTTAAACGATTACTTTGAGACTTGAAAGTTTTTCATTCGATCCGTGGTGGATGTGCATTGTAAATGAAGAGTCCAAAATAGGATGAAACAGTTGTTTAGTGTTCCATGAGTATTAACGGTTGTTCGATTACAATGAGTCAGTGAAATTTGACAATTGTCACAAACCGTTTTTAAACTAATCACACAAAAAACATTTTTATAAAAAGTTTCCTAATAAAACAGTATCGAGATACCATTAATTTCATGATTCGTTTTGGTGGAGTTTAATTCTCTGAGCTGGATGGTTTGGTTGTAGAACTGTTCATTGTTTTTCTGAACGACATCATCAGTACAAACTTCAAGTAGAAGTGAAATTTTTGAATTTCTTCACATATCACTCCCAACTTGTCCTGTAGACCTCGATCGTCATTGTTTATTGTTGAACTTTAACCTGTCATTATTTACCCTTTTATTATCGACTGTATTTCCTTTTGATCTGATTCTTGGTCCTATGTTTATTCATGATGAGAAAAGTTTGAGCTGATGATGCTGTTTATAAGAACAATGAAAGCTCCATGTTCAAATCATCCATTTCAGAGCATAAAATCATCCATCTAAGCTACAAATCTTTTCCACCAACAGTCATTCATTATACTATGACTATGTTTTATTAAACTGTCTTGAAATTATAAAAGATTATATTTCTTGTTAAGAATAACAACATTTGTATACGGTATTCTATGTAGAATTAATGAATAAAAAATGTGTAGAGTACATAAGTGATACATTGTGGAATTAGGTGAATATAAATATATGTACCTAAATGTAGAGAAAATAAACTCAGTACTAATTAAAAATCAAATACACCTTAGTAACCAAGTATGTATTTTTGTGTATTTGGAGTATGAAGGAACATATTTATTTTTACTCCTTTAACAACTGGTACGATCCAATGGTTGGTGGAAACGTTGAGTTATATCACTTGAAATCAGTCATAATGGAGCAGATGCATTCACTCTTTGTCTTTACTAAGATCTTGAGATTTTAGAAAATAATCGTGCACTTTATTATTCCCAGAACTTAATTTTTCCTCTTGGATTATATTGTATATGCTTAAATTTTTGTAACTACCACCACTTCCACAAATCTGGAAATCTTACTGTACTATTATGGTGTTACAACTTGAACTGATATACATCTCTCTCAAGTCTTGTGTTGCTTATGGCTGACTGAGTACTATCCAGTTAATGAAATTAAAATAATAGACGGAAAGAATTTCGCACATACAACCAATGAAATGGGTTGAGAGATGAGTGTTTTAATCAAGACAAACCACTGCAACTCTATATTACAATGCAGTAAAATGATAAATATTGAGATCGTGAACCGATCAATGTTGGACTACCACTGAAAACCTCGAAACACTGGACGGTCGTTTCATCATAGTATGTAACTCCTCAGCAGTGCTCATTCACGATCCCGCACGCGGGACTCGAACCCGGAAACCTCTGGTTCACCAACTAACTGATGAGTTTGTGATGAAAAATAAACTTGAAAATTTTGCGCGAAATCTCCTTACCTTCAGAATATATGGTATGTCAGTAATAATAATAATAATAATAATAATAATAATAATAATAAATCACCAACCTTGAAGTCGTACAACAATTGGTACTTTTATGTTTAATTCTGTAGCAGCTGTTACAATACCTTGTGCAATCACATCACAACGCATAATACCACCGAAAATATTTACTAGTATAGCATTGACCTTCGAATCAGATACGATTAAACGAAAAGCTTCAGTCACTTGAGCAGCTGTCGCTCCACCTCCAATATCAAGAAAATTCGCCGGATTACCACCATGCAATTGAATTAAATCCATAGTAGCCATAGCTAAACCAGCTCCGTTAACTGAAAAGATTTATTGGAGTATCAAAATGATAGTAGAATCACGATATATATATAAATATATAACTAAAAAGGAAACAATAAAATTGCTTGAATTTTCGGGTCTCAATAACTGATAGATTCGTCAATGCGCACCACAAAGAGATACCATATACTGAGACGAACCACCTGACTGTCTATTGTTACCATCTTGTTTTCTATGGTTGTCTAAGGTCGGTGCATGATGTAATCTACCAATTTGGATAATCTCCACATAACTCCCTGTTCATTGACAATGATTATAAACTCGCACTAGTGACTACTTTCAAAAGGTAATTCAATGACTAGAGGAGTTCAGCCCTGTCGGATGTGAGAGAGTGTACTAACAAACAGCACTGGGTAATGGATGAGTAATATTGTGAATTGACTCGAGTTAGAAATATAAATTATTGGATGTTACCAGTTTAGTGATCTGAAAGAAAAGAGACAACCGCTAGGACTGAACAAACTGGGTTCAACACCGCGAAGTCATCGAAGTGCATTATTGACGAGTCTTATATTAAGATGGGATAGTTAGCCGGTCAAGGTTATCTAGTTTCCAAATGCTTATATACAGTTAAAGTCCATCAATGATGTGAAATAATGAAAACTAACGATTTGTTAGAATTCAGAAGAAAAATAGGTCAAATTTAAGGTGATATCGATTTGTTTCATTTAGAAAAAGAATAATCTAGACACGTGACGACGACCTTGGTACAAAATAAAAAAATCGAAGGATACGTACAAAAAACAAAAGATCTGTACATATGGATTGTGGTGTATTTAATTCATTTAGCGAAGTTTCTTATGTTGTATCGATGTTTTGAGCTTACAACGTGATATTACAATAGACATTCATTCGTTATTGGATCATCATTATCCCTTGAAACTCAACTCATTTGATATAACTCATAATGCTATCATAAAATTTACTGAGATTTCTACCGTCATTCGTAGTATGTAGAAGAAAGTGTCCAGTATATACATATAATTATTACAATAAATGGACGTCTATTGAAAAACAAGAGGCAGTAGAGAATTTACAAGGAGTTCAATAATCATAGAGCGAACACTTTAGATCATAAGTTATATTCTAAGTGGGAGGGTTAATGATACTACTCGATTCCCAAAACCGAAGTAGGTAGGACAATGTTCGCACTTTAAACTTAGTAGCCGAAACTCAAATGCCTTAACCAATAAATCGCTGCTCCACAGACTTACTATTCACTGTTGTCAACGCACATCTGTGTCAGGCTATGTTGACGATGACCAACCGATTATCTTCTGATCAGGCATTCTTCAGAACTATAGTCTCGATTTTTTATAGAATAGATGGATTGTGGTCATTAGTGAAATCTAAGATGACCATTTCGTCCTACCTAAAACTTGTCGGTTAGATGTACCTTTTACATCCCAGAGTTGATACTGTATAACCGGTGTTATATCACTGAGCCTTAGCTAAATTATTCGGCAGTTGGGTCACTGAATATCGAACAAATCGACTCTCGACAAGGACAACCAACGCGCATCAGTTAATCTTATGCCATGGACTGGCGCATGGGGTGGTGGTCTCGCTATTTTTCCTGTACTCATTCTTACCAATACATTTGCATAATAATGTTCTTTGTGTTATACGGTATTCAAAGCAGCCACAGTACCTTGACACGTCGAAGGGGTAATCCACGTTAGATGTTGACCATGAGGTGTGACTTCGAAGTTAGCTGGTTCGTCACACCATTCCCGTCTAACTCGAGTAGGCCTCCAATCATTCGACATAGATAATCTACGCTGGTGATCTACAATAATTTATACTGAAATTCGAACCCAGTACACCTTTCATTTCAAACGCTCAATGCGCTATCCACTGAACTACTAAGTCCGCATAACCATTCACTTGTGAGCAAAATTTAATCAAAAATATCGACAGCGGGATAATCAGACTATTTTTTAAATAATGATAAATATGTTTGGAACGTTTATTTTTCTTCATCATCAATTATTTCAAATTTCTTTCTATTCATCTCGTTAAGCTAATGTGGTATGGATACTTGGTCTAATTCATATTTGTTCCACGCGTTCCACATTGATTATGATTGACTGGATAGGTTTCAACAGTCATAATAATAATAATAATAATAATAATAATAATAATAAATAATAATAATAATAGACTGATTTACACAGCTCTAAACAATATTGGCATCAGCTTGTTAATTGTGCCCAATAATTGAAAATTTAGCCAACTAAAATTGTACTTTGAATATTTACTCGGTCTAACTTTTATATGAGTCTGCTTTTTTATTTTTCTATTAATCCATGAACGATGGTAATCAACTAAATTTTCATTTATTATTGTTCAGTGTATGTGTAATTGTAATTATTTCCTAATATTTTTGTCTTAATTGCAATTATTTATTATGTAAAAGTAATTAAATCATTAAAAGGTCAAGTTACGTATTGATTTTAATAATAATAATTTTGTATAAACTGTATAACTTAACAATACTAATAGGACTATGAGGGTGGTGGGTATCATTTCCCGGTTGGTCACATATACCATGGAAAGATATTTCTTCTTGGGGTACCTGAAAATAAAACTGGGTTAGGGGTAATCTTGACAATCTGGGAAAACGGTTATAAAGCCCAATAAATAACTGCTTGAGGTCGACCAAATATGGACTTTTTTTCGAATAGTTATAAATGGGTTGGCTTCGTACTTTTAAGGCTTTATCGTTACCGAAAAGAATCCATGGGGCAAGTTGAAGTGTGATTTTTTAATGCCTAGCTTTTTCTTATCCCTCCTATGGAACTGCTACAAATGCTGGCTGTCCAAGGGAAACACTTTGCCGCCGTCTCTCATCACAGTACAGTTAGGTGTATAACATTTCCCTCGAACCATGAGTACGTTGCTTTCAGTTCTACTGTTTTCTAACTAACTTATCTGATATGGTAGGATCTAAAGGAAGGAATATCTCGCCTAATATGGTTTAATCAAGTCATCATGATATGCAAAACCGAACATTACACTGTGACAATAGCTACGATCATACATAACAACACTCCAATAAGTGAAATGTAGGTAAAACAAATATCTATCATGATTATTATCACAGCTTACCTAAACAACCAATATTTCCATCTAAACCAATATAATTTAATCCAGCCTTTGATGCTTTTACATCACGTTCATCTTCTTGTGACCAATCACGTTGTGCAAAAATCTCTTTCTGTCGAAATGCAGCATTATCATCGAAATTCATTTTACAATCCATACAAACAACTAGTTCAAACATAGAAATAAAAGAAAAAAAATACAGATTCGAGAAAAGAAGAATTATTGGCATAACCGTCGTCTTTTTCACGTACATACACTTTTCAAATTCAGTTTTAAGTATATTCATATGTTAATACGACAAGAAATTTGCATTTAAACGTTGATTTCCCATATTCTCCTTTTAGCATTCAAAGACGTGAGATTAGCTGAGAACATAGAATATATTTTGAAATGAATGGGAGAGAAATATAGGAAAGGTATCTTATTCCATTTATTGCTCCTCAGCTGACTGGCTTTGATATTAATATTGATGTTCAACTTAGAGAACCGTCAATAGTATGGTCTATATCCAAGTTCAAATACCAAGAGATTGATCATAAATTGGAACATTCACTATGTATGATCACCTTCTTCTACATGGTAAACACGATTCTAATAATTATTTCGCAGAGAACTAACTAACCGTCTTCTAAATTGAACGTATACAAATTCGTTAAGGATTCATACAAGGTCATCATCATGTCTGATTGAAGTTAGACTTGTAAACCACTGGATTCCGGCTCAGTGATCTAGAGGTTAATAGTTCATGAGCGAGAGCGAAGGTTCTGGGTCAGATTCAAGATTGCGGGTTTGTGAATAAACACTGTTGGAAGTCCATACTAGGACGAAATGGCCATTCAGTAAGTTCAGCTTCCCAACAGTTGTTGAACGCAGATCGCCTCATGATTTCAATAAAATAACAGACCAGTAAAAACTCGAAAAAACATAGCACGAGGAGATAGAGAGAGGAGGGAGGAAAGTGACAAAACAATATTCAAATCAAGAAAGAAAAGTCTTAACAACACATACCTTTTCCATTTATATCTTGAGAAATTGGATTAATTTCTAACAGTGTACAATCGGATGAATCAAAGAGTTTATAAAGTCGTTCAATGTATACAGCTGCTTCATCTGGATGTGTAAAACCTAATTTGTGCGCCATAAATAAAGCATCTTTTTTATTTAAACCTTTGTTAATATCAACTGGAATCTAAAAAGTGTACAATAAATTTTTTTTTAAAAAGAATAGTAATTGAATACTGGTTAAAATGTTTCCTGGAGATATTTGTTACAAATAAAAAGTCGCAGAACTATTGGAAACGATGGTGCATTGAACAGTTCTGTTTAATGATAATGAGTTTGTGACTTTTACAGTAATGTCCGATAACGATTTCATACAATACACTAACTACGAAGTTTTGCAAAATGTGAGCAATGTTTTAAAGATATATCTAGGATTTAATGAATGCAGTCAATGCATTTTTTCTACTTTCACAAACCATATTTTATAGTCACACGATGATACATATCTGATTGCTAAAGAGTACGTTCGATCCTTGGTTAACGGACACATTTCGCCTGCACTACAAGCAGCACCAAGGGAGACTTTTGGATCAGTAGCGATATTTTGCTAGTCATCAACCTTACGAAGAATGACGGAACTTCCATGAGGAACGCGATGAACAACACGCTCGATTAGTTCACGCCATATATATATTTATTTATTTAAACACAAAACATTAGTACAAGAAGGCACAAAACAGATATGCGTCACGTAAATCATTCGATTTATGAGAGAACTGGGATACTACCCGGGTGCCCAAACCGACGAAAGTGGTTTTCTTACGGGGCTACAACCTGAGCCTTTGACCTAAAGGTCTGATCCACAAGGCAGTGGAGCAACATAAGGAGACGCAGTCCCATGGTAACCGATGATCAACAATTGGTTCACAAGACATTTGTTCCCTCAGGATTCTGGAGCCCATGTGTACCATTGGTTTGGAGTCAGGGTTTTCCAACTCCCCTAGGTGTATCCTCCATATCCACCAACCCAGTTAAAGCGTCGGATATTCGTTTTCCATCCTCTCAATTTCGTAAACAATACTCCCGCCACGAGAAAGCAGTGGGTAGGACTTCCCTGGCAGTGGTTCTATGCACGTGGCCACTTTAGAGCATCTCGAGAGGGAGGGTGGGCTCTCCCACCATCGGCCGTACCAGGGCATTTAGGGGCAAGGCGGTCTACGTCGGCCGGGAACCGAACCCCGACCGTTCGCGTGGGAGGCGAGGATTCTACCATTGAACGGCCGATGCGTTGGAGCACAAATACACAATTCACAGAAGGAAATTAAGTTATTTAGAAGGTAAGTGGATGCACTGACGAGTCAAGAAAACACGACTATATAACTGATCATACTAAAGTGCAGTTATCGCAGTGACGTTACGTTGATGAAAGTGTTTCGTTCTTGTATATGTAACTCAAGTTTATATGATTTAATTGGAATAGATCCATCAGATTGAAGAAAGAAAGCGAATCGCTTTATCTGTCGATAATGGACAGAAAGTAGTAACAGAAATATGCACACTGTTCTAAACCTGTTACAAAGTATGTGTGTGTCTGTGTTTATACTCATAAAAAATAACTTGGAATTTAGTAGCTTCACCGTGTACACGCGTGTGTGTTCATTATTAAATTTTATTTATTTACTTTCGACAATAATCATCATGGATTGAATTCAGTTAAAGAAGTATTAGAAAAACCATGAAACACTATTATTACTACTGCTACCACTACTCATCAGTGTACACACACCTATGACTTTCGACTGAATTGAGTTCATGCTGAAATTTATGAAACATGCATAATATTAATAGTAGATAATAAACTAAGTTATTTATCAAGTACTTAGATATGAGCTACATTCCAAGTGTGAGAGCTAATGATGCCACCCGATCGGTCACACCGAAATAGGTAAGGGGGACGTTCTAACCTAGGATCGAATGACTGAAGGTTGAATGAATTAACCACTAAGCCATTGCATAGTGTTATTAAGTTACAGTTTGAGATGAAAATTATATTAAACTAGATTATTTTCAATTAGATACCTAGTAAAATCATGGTCACTTAAGCTTATAAATAATATTATTTTGAAATTCTACGCAAATTGTATTACTTGTAATATTTTGATGTTATGTGGTTGGAAGCGATCAACAAGCAGTTTTTAATTAGTCAACATCAACAGATACAGTGTCCAATAAAAGTAGGTTAGCTCAAATTGTCACATTATATAACCACGATGAGGTTAAATTAATAAGATGAATGACAAAGGAGTTGAACTGTGTTACCAGTGGTAATAGGGAAGACTAAACCTTGAGAATAAGGTAAGACAGGACGAAATCGAAAGGTATGTATGAAGAAATACTGCAAATCGACATCCATAGGAAAACGAAGAGTAAATGAACCTGAGCCAATGTAATCGATTTTGATCCATGTCACCCAACATCAACCACTGGTCATTGTTATCATAACTACTGCAACCAGGAAGTTGGGATCTAGAAACATAGGTTACACCAATAGTGAATGACTTCATGGACTGATACCACATTTTAATTTGTCCGCCTTTAGCTTCTTTCCAACTTATACTGAACCTAAAATTGCATGTTAGGATAGGCAGTAGTGAGGGATACGTAACTCGTCCCAAACATCTCAGATGTCGAAGATCTACAATCGTATTTACCGATTTCCAATTTCTTCCCAGAAACCTATATCACTATCTAGACTATTAAACAGACAACTGATGCTACCCACGCTACTCAGTATCACAGTCAGAAACATCACCACAACTGGGTAATCCAAGTTATGACTGGCCTCTTGTGGGACTGAGATTTTTATACTCACCGACTACTAAGTAGTAACACTAATGTCATATTTATCTAATCCTTGGTGCCAACTAAAATTTGTTACTTACCTATAAAATTAATAGTTATAGTTGAAATCAACTAGTCATTAGGTCTATATGTTGCCAAGAGCAATTACAGAAGGGATATATTATGACTAGTAGTAGAATTCGAGATGAATGTTTAACCCTACTTGGGACTTGTCAGTGGGATGTACCTGGCACATCCCAGTGTTGGTATCTACATTTGAACTCGAGCCAAGGTGTCTTTCACTTCAAACACCCAACTCGTTATCCATTGAGCCTTTGAATACAGATAGCCGCTAAATTGTTCAACAATTATGATACTTATATCATTACTAGTAAAAATTTGAATTATTTACTATTCACATTCAACATTTACATAATCAAAGTACAAACCATAAAAATGTCTACTGATTTACTTTAATTAAAGCATCTGGGTTATCACGTGCTATATCTTCAATATTTACACCACCCTGTTGACAACCAATCATTACCGGTCCACCACTAGAACGATCTAGGACAATAGCTAGATAATGTTCACGTCGAGAATATTTACGTTCACATGCTAATAATGTATTGCATAATTGGCCGGTGTCACCGGTTTGTGCAGTGTAGATTCGATGACCAAGCATGTGATTAGCTACATTTACGGCTTCTTCTACACTGAAATTAAAAAAAATAAACAATTTGAAATTGAAACTTGACTACCTATTACATGCAACAATATAACTGAATAATTAAGTTCATTTCGTGATAAGAGATGATTAAAAGTAAAAACTAATAATTAATTCAATAAAGTAATTTTTTATTTCAACGTTCTATGGAATTTTGACCAACTCATCTATAAACTAGTTATATAAGACTCTATCGTATAGTCTGAGGATTATTTCATTCAGTTTTGATATTTATTAAGTGAGAAATTCGTTGTGGGTTATAAGTATTGAAACATAATTCTTAATCATTGAAAAGGAAATATGTACATGAATAATGCTATTTCTCATCAGAGATATATATTCTTCGCAAACTGATTTTGTCTCCCAATAGTCAATGATTGGGGCAAATCGTTGACAAATAATTACTTTGTATTCACTCAAGGTGGTCACATTTGAGTTTTATTAAGTTTTTTAGCACTATTTCCTTGGTATTTTCGAATTGCATAGAAAAAATTAGGTTATAATATTTCGATAATAAACTTTAAGACTATTAAGCTAACTAATTCTCATCACAGATACAACAAACATATATAAGCAGGAAATTAGCTTCGGGACGCATTTGTTTTATCAAGGTTAGGGATATTATCTAACTGTTCAGTTTTAAGTAGGTGGAATGGGACTGGAACCTGTGAAATCCGTATCGATTATCAAAGGTGTTATGACTTTATGTCCGGGTAGTTATCAGGTGACTTACCCACCAATCAAAATACGACTCATACAATCTTCACACTGTGCCAAACCATTGACGTCCGACCCGTATGGGCAGCCTAGTGTCCTTATTAGTCCTATGTTCGCCTAGCCCGTCCACTTGAGTCCAGAACACCAATACCAGCTTCCACTATGCGAATCGAATCCTTTATTTCAGACATACTGGGTTCATATATCAACCAGACAGACCGCAACGCACCACAAAATAGGAAATAACATTCATACACAATAAAGCCAAAAAGTAGCTCTGAACGTGGGAGGCAGTAGTCAATAAACTGAACACAGCTTAAGAGCAGTAAATCGTACAATAATAAATTATAGGTCAAAATAAAGCTTATAATAAGAGGAATATAAATATACATAATCTAATTATTGAATAAACTCCGCCTGGAGTCCCTCCGGGGGCTACTGCCGGTCCCAAGCCCGGATAAAGGAGGAGGGTTGGGCATGGGGTTAGCGTCCCCATCCCGTAGAAAACTAACTCGCTAAAAAAACGCTAACCAGAAAAAATTATTCAAACCTTTTAAACTCTGCCCTGGGAGTCAGAAGGTCTTCATTTAGAAGAATTATGACGCCTCATGATGAAAGCCGAATTCCTTCGGAAGTTACGAGGCCGATGCCCCTTCTGACAACCAGAGCGACCATTTATTTAGGTACATGGAATGTTCGTACAATGTGGGACACCGGGAGAGCCTTCCAAATTGCTGCAGAAATGAGAAGATACAACCTAGAGGTACTTGGGATCAGTGAAACACATTGGACACAAGTTGGACAACAACGACTAACTACAGGAGAGCTCCTGTTATACTCCGGCCATGAAGAAGAAAATGCACCACATACACAAGGAGTTGCATTGATGCTGTCCAAACAAGCGCAAAATGCGCTTATAGGATGGGAATCTCATGGACCAAGGATCATCAAAGCCTCGTTCAAAACAAAGAAAGAGGGCATTTCAATGAACATCATCCAATGCTATGCGCCTACCAACGACTACAATGAAGACGCTAAAGATCAATTCTACAATAGGCTGCAGTCAATCGTCGAGAAGTGCCCAACAAAGGACCTGACCATTCTGATGGGAGATTTCAACGCCAAGGTTGGAACGGACAACACTGGATATGAAGACATCATGGGACGACACGGACTGGGAGAAAGAAACGAAAATGGTGAGAGATTTGCAAATCTATGTGCCTTCAATAAACTGGTCATAGGCGGCACCATATTCCCACATAAACGCATACACAAAACCACATGGACTTCACCGGATCACACCACCAAAACCAAATCGACCATATTTGCATCAACAAAACGTTCAGGAGGACTATAGAGGACGTGAGAACCAAGAGAGGAGCTGATATAGCATCAGATCATCACTTGCTGGTCGCCAAGATGAAATTGAAACTCAAGAAGCACTGGACAACGGGGCGGACAATATCACAAAAGTTCAATACGGCCTTTCTTCAGGATACTAACAAACTCAACAAATTCAAGATAGTCCTCAGCAACAAGTTCCAGGCCTTTCATGATCTACTCAATGGAGAAGGAACTACTGTGGAGAGCAACTGGAAGGGGATCAAAGAGGCAATCACTTCAACATGTCATGAGGTCCTGGGTCACAAGAAGCACCATCACAAGGAATGGATCACTGTTGATACACTGGATAAGATTCAAGAAAGGAGGAACAAGAAGGCAGCAATCAATACCAGTCGAACAAGAGCAGAAAAAGCCAAGGCACAAGCTGAATACACAGAAGTAAACAAACAAGTGAAGAGGAGCATCAGAACCGACAAACGTAAATATGTGGAAGATTTAGCAACGACGGCGGAAAAGGCTGCAAGAGAAGGAAACATGAGACAATTGTATGACACGACAAAGAAACTCTCTGGAAATCGCCGCAAACCAGAACGACCAGTGAAAAGCAAGGAAGGCAAGGTAATCACCAACATTGAAGAGCAACAAAACAGGTGGGTAGAACACTTCAAAGAACTCTTGAATCGACCAGCTCCACTGAACCCACCCAACATCGAAGCAGCACCCACGGACCTCCCAATCAATGTTGGCCCACCAACAATTGAAGAAATCAGCATGGCCATCAGACAAATCAAGAGTGGCAAAGCAGCAGGACCGGACAACATTCCAGCAGAGGCACTAAAAGCAGACGTAGCGGCAACTGCAAGGATACTCCACATTCTCTTCAATAAGATTTGGGATGAGGAACAAGTACCAAAAGACTGGAAAGAAGGACTTCTGATCAAAATACCGAAGAAAGGCGATCTCAGCAAGTGTGATAACTACAGGGGCATCACTCTTCTCTCAATACCGGGAAAAGTCTTCAACAGGGTATTGTTAAACAGGATGAAGGACTGCGTAGACGCCCAACTTCGTGACCAACAGGCAGGATTCCGTAAGGATAGATCGTGTACAGACCAAATCGCAACTCTACGGATCATTGTGGAACAATCAATTGAATGGAATTCATCACTCTACATCAACTTCATTGACTACGAAAAGGCATTTGATAGCGTGGACAGAACAACACTATGGAAACTTCTTCGACACTACGGCGTGCCTCAGAAGATAGTCAATATCATACAGAACTCATATGATGGATTACACTGCAAAATCGTGCATGGAGGACAGTTGACAAAGTCGTTCGAAGTGAAGACCGGTGTCAGGCAAGGTTGCTTACTCTCACCCTTTCTCTTTCTCCTGGTGATCGACTGGATCATGAAGACGTCAACGTCTGAAGGGAAGCGCGGGATACAATGGACATCTAGGATGCAGTTGGACGATCTAGACTTCGCAGATGATCTGGCCCTTCTATCCCAAACGCAACAACAGATGCAGGAGAAGACGACCAGTGTGGCAGCAGCCTCAGCAGCAGTAGGTCTCAATATACACAAAGGGAAAAGCAGGATTCTCCGATACAACACAGAATGCACCAATCCAATCACAATTGACGGAGAAGATTTGGAAGATGTAAAAACCTTTACATATTTGGGCAGCATCATTGATGAACAGGGTGGATCTGATGCAGATGTGAAGGCGCGGATCGGCAAAGCAAGAGCAGCATATTTACAACTGAGGAACATCTGGAACTCAAAGCAACTGTCAACCAACACCAAGGTCAGGATTTTCAATACAAATGTCAAGACAGTTCTACTGTATGGGGCAGAAACCTGGAGAACTACGAAAGCCATCATCCAGAAAATACAGGTGTTTATTAACAGTTGTCTACGCAAAATACTTCAGATCCGTTGGCCGGACACTATTAGCAACAACGTACTGTGGGAGAGAACAAACCAGATCCCAGCGGAGGAAGAAATCAGGAAGAAGCGCTGGAAGTGGATAGGACACACATTGAGGAAAGCACCCAACTGCGTCACAAGACAAGCCCTCACATGGAATCCTGAAGGCCAAAGGAAAAGAGGAAGACCAAAGAACACATTACGCCGAGAAATGGAAATAGACATGAGAAAAATGAACAAGAATTGGATGGAACTAGAAAAGAAGGCCCAGGACAGAGTGGGTTGGAGAATGCTGGTCGGCGGCCTATGCTCCATTGGGAGTAACAGGCGTAAGTAAGTAAGTAATTATTGAATAGTTATACCATAAGAATATATAGACAATATTAGTCAATTAATATGTCTCAGAAGTTACTCGTGATCTAATCTTCGCTCGGATATAACAAAAGGGCTGATAAGAACTAAAGGAAAGGTCATAGCACTGTTCTAAAGACAGAATCTAAAGCTGTGTATAAATTCTTAAATTTATAGAAACTTTGACCACTATAAAACCCAGAACTTCTTTATGTGCACAAAAATAATTTAGTCTAACTTTGGTTTCACCCTGGTAATCCTTTAATCCATTTTACACCATGAAGTGGTGCGAAAAACTATTTTTTTCCATTTTACATTAATTTTCCCTTTCCTTTATCACTTCATGTTAATTAGGCCTTTTGCTGAATTAACCTTTATTAGTTTCCATAAATCCCATGTTGGATTTATGTACGACCAAATTACTTGAAGTGTATAGAGCAAATGTATCAAACTTTTCGTCAGTCAGTCAGTTACTACGTAGGACCAGGAACATATATGCATCGATCCAAGTTGCCACACCTCATTAGCACAACAAAATGAACACTGAATTCAGAGAGAAGTAGTTGATTCAATGGTGGTAATATATCAAAGAAAAATTGCATATAAGGATATAGTACAGGAAGAAAGAATCAGTTGGTAGAAAGGAAGATATAAAGCTATTTTAATCTCATAGTTTAAAGGAAGATAGAGTGTGTACACCTACGCCATTATGATCGGTTATGAGCCATGTCACCAAGAGTCTCCAACCATTGGTTACGATAGTCACGCGGACCCCAACCAAGTAGTCTGCACCCACCAACATGGCTCAAACCAGAAGTTAGTGACTTCAAGGACTGATGCCACGTTTTGGTTTGGCCGCCCCTAACTTTCTTCCAACCATCCCCTACACCGGTTAGCATTGCACGTCGCGGTAATCGGTGTTCAGGCATACGTAATACGTGGCCCAACCATCTCAGTCGATGAAGATTCATAACCTCATCAACTGATTTACCATCATTCCCTAATACCCTGAGTCTAACCTCACTATTACTTATCCGGTGATTCCAGCAGATGCTGGCAATATTTCTAAGACATCTGTGGTCAAATACTAGCAACTTACGAGTATCTTCTACCCTTAATGGCCACGTTTCGCAGCCGTAAAGTAAAACAGAACTGCTGCCCAGTGTACTCGGCGCTTAAGTAATAGACGGGTATCTCGCCTTAATCGTGCGTGACGTAAGTTGGCAAATGTCAAACGAGCTTTCTGAGTCCGTGCTGAGATTTCATCAGACACCAAACCATTAGGGCTGATCAGACTCCCAACATAAGTGAAGTTGTCGGCGCGTCCGACTACTCCACTCCTTATCCTTAGTCCAGGTGTTGACGCAGACCAGTCCTGAAGCAATAACTTGCATTTTGAGAGGCAGTAACGCAACCCAAACATCCTGGCATTGATGCTCAATGCTATCAAGACTCTGTATTTTGTCGGCGTCTTCACCAAACAGGACTATATCATCTGCGTATTCTAAGTCGATATGTGGACCTCCTGGAAGATCAATTCCCGAAAATTCGGACGACGAGAACTTAAATCTAGCAGTAGGTTTATGATGAAATTGAACAAAAATGGAGATAGTGGACAGCTTTGTCGGACACCACTTTTTGGGTCAACTCTATCCTCTAGTTGTGCCATTGCAATCTGTAAAATGAACCAACTGTTTGAAGCAAGATTATTAATTTTTCGAGGTTCTTTGTTTAATGGAGCAGTCACCATAATACCTCTTCAAATAAGTATGAAAGTAAATCCAACGCCAAAACTAGTGTGCATATGAAAATTAAGAGCACTTATTGTTTATTCGATTAGTATATACATTACAGGCAAAGTTAAGTCTAAAAGCTGTAAACTACAATTGAGCAAACCCTAATGTTCAATCTCAAAAGTAGGTAAGTGTTCACAGTTGTTTAAATGCCTACCGTCATGTTTACAAATTTACACACACTTGTCATAATAACAGTTATGTTGAAAAGATAGTCTCTTGGCAATATTTATAAAGTTCTTATGGATTAGTCATATATCAGGATAAGTATTCATTACTTGAAGTTCATCAAATTCATTACTATACAGGCTAAGTAATTGCACTGAATATGCTTTAACAAACATGAAATAAATAATTCTTCTTTAAAATGGTATTACAGAGATGTTTGAGAAAGGAAATGGCTGAAATAACAGATAGTGGTTATTAGTTAGTATGATTTATTCCACTGAGTAGTATAGTGTGGTTGGATGACAATCTTATAACCTGTTTCTAGCTAGAAAAATGAAAATAATTATAAATTGGCGAGTGCAGTGTATGAACACAACGCACAATAATTTTAAATCAAACTTCTACTAACCCCCTCCAATGACTCTTGACTCAGCCCCCAACCGCTAAGAATTTAACGCTACCACTGACGATGATACAGGTAAAAACGTGTCCTTGGGAATCAGTCATTCAGAGCTCAAGTTACATAGAGCATGATTCAACGGCTTCCGCACTTGTTATGCAAGATATCATAGGCGAATGCGGGAAATTAGTCTGTAGATCACTCATTCCGCAGTCACTTAAGACCTTATCGGTAGGCTTAATCTTTGGGAATCCTACCAGATCGATTTAAAAATTCAACGGGATGACTATTGGAAAAGCTTCCTTACAGCTGATTTAGATCGAGTTTTTTTGAGAAATAATAAATTTTCCAACAGGTTATAATGCTGGCTTTACAGTTAGTATGATTTTTACTCATTCTACTAGAACAGCCAAATATGTTTATTAATTCTCACCCAGTGTACGTATATGAAGTTTGCTGCACAATGAGTGATTATCATATTCAGTTTATCAATACTTGAAAGATGAAGGGTTCAATATCAAGTCCTTGAGAAACTATGAATGACAATTTTATTTGCCCGATTTAGAAACGTATGCATACGGATAACAGGTTGAAAAATAAGTAAAGTAAACAAGTGAATAGTTTCCTAGAAATAAATCCCAATTGCAGACTCATCAAATTACCAATAGCCCTCAAATGCCCTGGTACGGCCGATGGTGGGGAGAGCCCACCCTCCCTCTCGAGATGCTCTAAAGTGGCCACGTGCATAGAACCACTGCCAGGGAAGTCCTACCCACTGCTTTCTCGTGGCGGGAGTATTGTTTACGAAATTGAGAGGATGGAAAACGAATATCCGACGCTTTAACTGGGTTGGTGGATATGGAGGATACACCTAGGGGAGTTGGAAAACCCTGACTCCAAACCAATGGTACACATGGGCTCCAGAATCCTGAGGGAACAAATGTCTTGTGAACCAATTGTTGATCATCGGTTACCATGGGACTGCGTCTCCTTATGTTGCTCCACTGCCTTGTGGATCAGACCTTTAGGTCAAAGGCTCAGGTTGTAGCCCCGTAAGAAAACCACTTTCGTCGGTTTGGGCACCCGGGTAGTATCCCAGTTCTCTCATAAATCGAATGATTTACGTGACGTATATCTGCTTGGTGCCTCCTTGTACCAATATCTATATGTTCAAACAAATAAATAAATAAATAGATTACCAATAAAAATCGGGAAGGAATGTCAGTTGTTTCATTATAGTTTTAAAATATTGTAAGCCGAAAGGTACATTATCAACCTTCTCTCATGAACTTGGACTTTGAAACAAAGTTTCTTCGCCGATAAAATAAAGTTGGTTGTACCACTTTCCTCTCATCAGTCTGTTTATAGTAGATCCCGTATTCAGTGCAGTTTTATTTTGTTAGTGGAACAACTTGGTCCCTTTGAGCTGAAAATAATTAACAACTCTCTTCGTTTGATCACCGTTTCCTCCGAAGAACCACTAAGAGGTCAGGTATTGTGTGCATAGACACAATGATAGCTATTTAATTCGTTTCACCATCTTGAAACACTGGCCTAAAGTAGCTTGAAGATATTTCATGAATGTCATCCGTGTAGTTTTCATACGGTGCACATTATTCGCGATATTGATACTAAATGGTAAAAACAGAAAGATGGTCAGTTCATATCACAGCGCTGTAATATGAAAGGGTAGCTCTATTTGTTGAAGATAAATAAACAAACACGCCAATTCGAAAGAAAAACAATCCAACTCACTTGTATACAATTTTAACTCCACCTTTTAATCCGCTATCCCAAATACCTTTACCACGGCCACCAGCTAACACTTGTGCTTTCAACACCATATCTGTGCTCTCTGTAGTCTCACCTATGGTTGAATATAGATATAAGGGGAGGAAGGGAAAAAAATCAATTATTGAATTATTATTTTGTTATGTTGAGTATTTAAACACATCTAGACAGACTGATCACAGTGTACGTGAATGTCTTCTTGTTTATTTGCAGATTTATCTTTAAAAAAATTGTTATTACATTGGGTGTAAAAATATGCACAAACTTATCGAATAAACATCTTAAAATACTCAAGAGCATCATAAGTTAACCATCTATTTATTTATTTAATAATAAAATGTTTCGTAAACAATTAGGGGCGTTAAGGAAATGCACCAAATGCAACAAATTGATGGCACTATAAAGTACAAAAAAACAGAAGAAAATCTTTTTTAAATATCAAAATCAATTAGCAGTATAGCACACAACAACTAAGAGAAGAACTAATCTACTGAGAAGAAAGAGTTTACAACATTCAATGACACTTACTTGTGAATTTGTTAACGCATCTAGTTTATTTCAGAAGTTACAAGTATTATCCAATATCAGAATTTTTGAAATTTTGCATTTGATGAACAGTTTGGATTCCTTAACATTTAAATATTAATAGCTCAATTTATTTGGTGACTAACAAGTGAAATTTACTAATGCCATTGTATTAAAAGCTTCCTTAAAACTTGATATTCCAAGGAACATTGTACTGTCTATGTTTCAATGAAATTTCCAATTTCATAAGACTCAATAGCAAGATTGAGATTATTTATTTTTTCAGATAAATTATAATTATGAGGACTAGATATGCTACCTAATATCCAAATTGAACAAAGCACTTAACAGGTTAGACATCTAACGATTAAACACTTGAACAATGATTCACAATGAGCTTAACAACATATTAACATAGATCTAGTCTATTCAATTTCACAAACATTTAGTAAGGCCTCTAATGTCTAATCATATATTTCTCATGAAGTGAATTAGATAGCTCCTCTCATATATATATATATATATATATATATATATATATATATATATATATATATATATATATATATATATATATATATATATATATATATATATATATATATATATATATATATATATATATATCTTTTTGCAGACAGTTCTACATCTCCCCAAGACTAACTGTCCTCACATATATACACTTTGAGTTGTATCAATAAACCAACCTACAAGTATAACTAAAATTTACACCGATGATGTTCCTTCTAGTTTTACATTCAAGTGTCAAAACATAATTAATGCGTAACATAATAGTCATACAAAATTACTGGAGTTGTTATTAATTAGACAGTGCTGAAACGCTCAATGCACACACACAAACACACACAGAAATCACCACCTTTTAGGAAAAAAGTCTTGTTACGTACTGCATAAAAGAAATAATAAGTAAAGGAGGAATTTTACGCCAAAAAGTAGCAAACCGTCAGAGCAGTACAGAAAACATGTGAATGCCATAACGGATAATATAACCTTACCTGAATTTTCTAATTCACTTTCAGGTAAAATGCCTGAATAAAAAAAGGATACATGAGAAATAGGGGAAAATACTGAACAGGATTTTTGTATTAGACGACAAACAAGCAGATGTGATGTATTTTTAAATCGTAATACACGTGAATTAAAGTCGATTTTTCTGCAGAATTCATAATTTATGATGGACATTACAAACTAAATCAAAGCTGTGTGCGAAATCTCATCCATCATGGACCATAACGAAGAAACAAGACTCTATTAATAGCGCTTGAGAGACTGTTTAGTACAATAGTATGCCAAGACATATGTTTCATAAAACCGAATTGTAATATTGTGGGAAAGTAAAAGGAATAAAACTATATAATAAAAGCATAAATAAAAAGTATTGGAGAATGTCATTCACATTAGCACAAAAACAGGTTAGATTTTATTAACGTAAATGTTACGTAATATTGTTTATAAAAAGGAGAATAAAATCAGGCCCCTACTGGATTATATTCTGAATTATGTCCGATAACTCTTCAAGTCTATAAACTTCGTGATGAAAAGCGAATGTCAGGCGCTTTAACCAGGTCGGTGGGTACGGATGATTCACGTGGGGGAGTTGGGAAACCCTAATTCTAATCCAATAATGTACATGTACTCCAGGATCCTGAGGGAACAAATGGCGTAGGAATCTGTTGTTGGTCAACAGCTACCATAGAACTGCATCTAACGTTTACCACTGGCCTTGTGGACTAGACCTTTAGGTCAAAGGCTCGGAGAGTGGTCCTTTAAGAAGACCACCGGCTTCAGTTTTGTGCACCCATGCAGTATCCCACCCCACACACAAACTAAATGGTGAATAAAAAGACTATCCACAATTGAATTTTCATCTCCTCCAAATCATAGTCAAAACTACTTGTTAATACTAGTTTTTTTTATTTTGAATTGCATCACCTGTCTATTCTTTTGCTCCAGCTTTGAACATTCCTTCATTCTTCAATTTCTACAACAGCTCGCCTATCGTGACAACCGTGTCCTATCTAAACTACCTCAAGTTAATGAATGGTCGAAAGTTGAATGCTACCATTCAATACGAATTCTGAACCTGCCTTTCTGAAAACATACCATTCAAACTGACTTTCTTCAACAATCGCACACGTATACGGGTGGGACAACAGATAGAGTTAATTGTCTTTAGAAAGCCTTAAAATTGATGTGTGTTATTTATCCGAGACCCATATTCAAGACTCTAGTGAAGCACTACAAGTTCACTCTCCATCTGTCACTTCAAAAAGCTTGTTTCATGTGTGTTTATCCGCGAACATCTTCGTCTGGTTTCGCTGGCGTTGCTGTCGCACTAACGCTAGATCTGAGACAACACTAATCGATTGGATCCCCATCAACATTCGGTTACATGCTGTTTTAATTTACGGCAGCGAAACATGGCCCTTAAGAGTAGAAGACACCCGTAAGCTACTAGTATTTGACCACAGATGCCTTAGAAATATTGCTGGGATCACCGGGTAAGTAATAGTGAGGTTAGACGCAGGGTATTAGGAAATGATGGTAAATCAGTTGATGAGGTTATGAATCTTCATCGACTGAGATGGTTGGGCCACGTATTACGTATGCCTGAACACCGATTACCGCGACGTGCAATGCTAACCGGTGTAGGGGATGGTTGGAAGAAAGTTAGGGGCGGCCAAACCAAAACGTGGCATCAGTGCCTGAAGTCACTAACTTCTAGTCTGAGCCATGTTGGTAGATGCAGACTACTTGGTTGGGGTCCGCATGACTTTCGTAACCAATGGTTGGAGACTCTTGGTGACATGGCTCATAACCGATCATAATGGCGTCGGTGTATACACTCTCTGTCTTCTCTTAAACTAAGAGATTAAGATCACTTCACATCTTTCTTTCTACGAACTAATTCTTTCTTCCTATACTATATCCGTATTGCAATCTTTCTCCTATATATTACCACCTTTGACCTAACCACTCCTGTGAATCCGGTGTTCATCTTGCTGTGCTAATGAGGTATGGCAACCTGGGCCGATGCATACATGTGCCTGGTCCTACGTTGTAGCTGACTGACTGACATGCCGTTAGATTAGAAAGCTCCATCAGAGTGAGAAGTCAATTTAAGAAACTATGTCTTTTTGTCGTCTCCGTCTACGCTCTGAAAGACTGCAGAAAGCATGCGGTCAAGGATGAGTTCTATCACCAGTCAAGTGTTCTCCGACAAAAAGTGCGTTTGGTAGATTAGAGTTTCAATATTGTAGAATGAATCGATAGTTGTCACCGTCTTTAAAAAGGATTCATATCACCTGTGCAACAACTATCGAGAGATAGGTCTACTTCCGATTGCGTCCAAATTATTGGCTTCCGTCATATTTCGTAGATTGCTCAAAACTCAGGAAAGATTGACTCACGAGGAGCAGGCTGGTGTTCGTTTTGCCCGATGACGTATCGATCATATCTTCACTCTCTACTATGTGTTAGAACATCGTCATACTTATTACAAGCCAACAATAGTAGTGTTTCTTGAAAACAGGTCCGTCTTCGATTCGTCGGACAAAATTGTTTTCTGGGATCGTCTATTGAACGAGGATGTGTCTGATAGGTTTATTGACATCATGAAAGCACTGTATACAAACACCTCAGAGAGAATGAGGGCGTAAAACCACCTCTCTTCATTGTTTTACTCAGGCAGTGAGGTGAAATCGGGTTGCCCAATCTCACCATCCCTCTTCAACTTTGCCATCGATGACGTTCTGAAAACAGCTCTGATGGATGTAGATAACTGTGGTGTGGACCTTTTACCCGGAAAAATACTTTTTGACCTTGAGTATGCGAGTGACATCATCTTACTGTGTGATGATACTCAACACAAGCAGTCAGTCAGTCAGTAACAACGTAGAACTTCGTACGTACGTACATCAGTTCGAGTTGCCACACCACATTAGCACAGAGATGCAGTTGTCGATTCAAATCCCGTAGTGGTAGAGGTAGCAAGAGTATAAGCAGTAATCGGGAAGATTAGGGTTTGGAGATGTTATTTAAAGAGTATAATCCAGTGAAATAAATTTGGAAAGAGGAAAAAAGGGACATGAAGAATTCAGAAGATTAGAATTTGGGAGAACACAGAGAGTGGATGCACCTGCGCCATTGCAAACGATTTTGAGCCATGTCATTCAGGGTCTCTAACCATCGGTTGCTGTCATCTCGCGGTCCCCAACCAGGTAGTCTACACCTACCAACATGACTCAGTTCACTTGTCAGTGACTTCATGGACTTGTGCCATGTTTTGGTTTGGCCGCCCCTAGCTTTCTTCCAACCTACTCCTATACCACTGAACATAGCACGTCGAGGCAGTCGGTCGTTGGGCATACGTAACACGTGTCCCAGCCATCTCAACTGATGAAGTTTCACTACTTCATCAATTGATTTGCCATCCTTACCTAGTACCCGTTTCCTAACAACTGTGTTACTTACTCGATGGTCCCATGATATACGAGCAATGTTTCGAAGACACCTATGATCAAATACTAGTAACCTACGGATATCCTCTACTCTTACCGGCCATGTTTCACTGCCATAAAGTAGGACGGAACGAACTGCTGCGCAGTAAACACGTCCTTTGGTTGATAGACGGATATCTCGCCTACGCCATAAATGACGCAAGTTGGCAAAAGCTAGTCGAGCCTTCTGTATCCGTGCTGAGATTTCGTCACACACTAAACCACAAGGGCTGATGAGACTTCCAAGATAAGTGAAGCGGTCGACACACTCAACTACTTCACTCCCTATCACTAGTTCGGGTGTCGATGTAACCCAATCCTGAAGCAACATTTTGCATTTCGAGGGAGAGAATCGCATCCCGAACATGCTTGCATTGTTGCTTAGAGTGGTCAGAAGACTCTGCATTTTGTCAGCGTCTTCACCAAATAAAACTATGTCATCAGCATATTCTAAGTCAACAAGTGAACCTCCTGGTAGAAGTTCAACCCCTGGAAATTTAGATGAGGAGAGTGTTATCTCTAAAAGTACGTCGACAAAGTTGAACAAGAATGGGGAGAGTGGACAGCCCTGACGAACACCACTTGAGGTAATCAATTCTGATGACAGTTCGCCATAAGCTCTCACTCTACCAGTTGTGTTCGAGTAGAGAGCCTTTATAAGGTTAATGTACTTCTTTGGTACTCCTTTCAGTGACAAACACTGCCATAGAACCTCACGATCAACAGAGTCGAATGCCGCCTTAAGGTCGAGAAATACTACCATTGTGGGGCGTCTGAATGTGTGTCTGTGTTCTAGAACCTGACGTAGTGTGAATATCTGATCTATACAACCACGTCCAGGTCGAAAACCAGCCTGGTTTTCTCTAGTCTGCTCTTCACGAGCTTTAGTTAGGCGTCGAAGTATTATTGAAGCTAATATTTTAGACACTATATTAGTCAAACTGATTCCTCTGTGATTGTCACAAGAGGACTTTTGTCCTTTCTTAAAACTGGCACAATCAGTGATTGAGACCAGTCAGATGGGATTACGTCCAGTTCCCAAATTCTACCTAAGACCTCAGTTAATCTCATTGCTAATACTGGACCACCATCCTTAAAAATCTCAGGAGTAAACCTGTCAGGGCCTGCTGCTCTCCCTCGTTTCAGATTTCCTATGGCTTTTTCAACTTCGTAAAGGGACGGAGGACCTACATTAACTTGCCATTCAGGTTGACTGGAGATCGTGGGAAACCGAAGTGTGGCTGAAGGCCAGTTGAACTGATCCCTAAAGTGTTCTGCCCATCGATCCAATCTCCTGGATTGAGAATGAATAATATGTCCATCTTTCTCTGAGATTGTTTCGCTAACGGTCGGGTTCCTAATTCCGGTTTCCTTAACGAGTCTGAACAATTGTCTGCTATTACCTATTGCCGCTGCCTTTTCCATCTCTCTTGCTTTCGCTACCCACCACTGTTCGCGATCATTGCGTAGACTTCTTGTCAGCTTGCGCTTAAGCTGACTCCGCTCTTCATTATGTTCAGAGCCAGGTGGAATGAGTTTCCGAGCATCTATCAGTGCGATAGATGCTGCTGAGATCCAGTGTTGCTCCCTAACCTTCTGGTTTACCTTACTAGCAGATATCACTGCTGTTTCCACAGCTTTTCGGATATCATTCCATGCTGCATCGGGGTGGGCATCACATACATGGCTGCCTAACTGTTTTCCTAGTTGTTCCTGAAATATACTCTTAGCTTGACTATCATTAAGTAGGCCCTAAGAGGTTTCCTTGCAGCGTCTTTCCTACGTCCAGTAAGACGCAAGCAAATACGCGCTCGCACTAGAGCATGATCTGAATCTAGGCATGTGCTCCAGAATGAGCGACAGTCTTCTATCGAGCCCCTCCATCGGTGGCTGATAGCGATGTGATCTATTTGGGTCCAACGTTGGGACGAATTAGGGGGTCGCCATGTTAAAAGATGTTTTTCCTTATGCTTAAAGTTAGTATTTGCAAGGAACAGGCGGTTATCTGAGCATAGCTGCAACAGACGGTCGCCATTATCTGTTCTTTGAGCCACGACACCATAAGATCCACCTAGGTGTCTTTCCTTATCGCTTAGTTTACCTACTTGAGCATTAAAGTCACCGGCCACTATTACTACATCCGAGCGCTAGCTTTTCGGAGAAGGTCCGAAAGCTTTCTGTAAAACTCATCTTTTACATCATCTGAGCTGCAGTCAGTGGGAGAATAGGCAGAGACGACGAAGAGGCAACGACGAGTGTCCCTATCTTTCCGGATTCTTACTGTTCCGTTCAGTCGGACAGCGCACAAACGACTGTCTACTGGGATCCACTCTAAGAGAGCTAGTTCTGCCCTAGGACTCAATGCTATACCTACGCCGGCGAGGCCACGGGAAGCAGAATCAGGGCTTCCAGATACACGAAGCGTAAATCGAGTCGGTTCTTTATTTTGGCATGGTGAGGTCAAATGAATGACGCTACTTGGATCCTGTATGCGCGTTTCGGAGACGCAGCACACATCGATGGCGCGAGATTCTAAAGTTTTAGCTAAGGAAGCCTGCTGTCCTATTTGGCAAAGTGTTCGTACGTTAAAAGCTCCTACGTGTAGTTTAGAGCGTGGTTTCAGGAGACCAGGAATGGCGTTCCACGTACTCGAATCGTTTGCCCTAGCGGTGCGAGGTGATAAAGAGACGTGAGGAGGGTTAGTCGGGAGGATAAGAGAGGTATTAGGAGGTGTAGGAAGGATTTGAATGTGACCACCTTGGTCTCTTGTGCTGTTACGGGTATGAGGGCTGATGTCACTTCCCGGCTGCCCACACCGTGGAAGGGTATTTCTTGAGGAACCTGAAAAGGAAATTGGATTAGTGTTGGTCTTGACGACCTGGGAGCGTGACCGCAGAGCCCAAGGGACAACTGCTTGAGGCCGGTCGCGCACGGCCTTTTTGTGGAAGGTTTTTGACGTGTTAGCTCCGTTCTTCAAGGGGCCTTACCGCCGGAGACGGAAATCCGTGAGGTAAGGTGAGGTGTGCATTTTTAGGGTCGACCTTTTCTAACCCCACCCCTCCTTGTGGGAAGGCAGCATCGCTGTCATGCTGGTTGTCCGAGGGAAACACCTTACTGCTGTCACACCTCTCTACAGTCAGCAGTACGACTTCGCCCTCAGACCTTGAGTTGCTGCTTTTAGTCTTACCGTTCGCCAATCGACCTGCCTGGCATGGTAGAACCTGCAGGAACATATGTTCCAGCCAATATAGCTCGGTTGGGTCATCACGATAGGCAAGCCCGACCACCGCGTCAAGGTAGCAGCTTCGATCGGGCAATCCGCATTTAGTCAGTTAGCAATCAGTGTCTACAGGTAGTGGCATGTGCTTTTCACCTTCTAAGTGCAGATTAGTTCTACAAAACTGGGGGAACTCTAAACCTGCACTCATTCTGTGTAGTGAGCAGATAGAAGTAGTCGAGAATTTTGCGTATCTGGGTTCCTGTGTAAGTGCCGGTGGTGGCGTGAGTGATGAGATAAATGCATGTATAGTGAAAGCCGGAGCGGCTTATTCCAATCTGACCCATCTTTGACACCTTTGTGATACTAGTCTGGATGTAAAGATCGAACCTACAGCACGTCAATGAGAGCAGTTTCGCCATATGTTATTGGATTCTAGTCTCTTCAAGTTGAGAATATTAGATGACTCTGCGTTTGACCGTCGTCGTCTCCAAAGGATCACTGACATCCAGTGGCAACACCATGTTAGTGATGCAGAGGTTCGGCATCGTGTATTCGGACACAGTGACGACCATTCAATTGGTATCACCATCTTGAAAAAGGGGGTATAAGGAAAATTCGGGACTTAGGTCTTAGGGCAAGACAAAGATAGAATGCACCTATGCCACTGACCCATGTCACCCAGTCTTTGAAGATTGGTTACGATAATCTTAAGGAACGCAACCAGGTAATCTACACCTGTTAACAGCTTATTCCAACTGTCAATGACGTCATGGACTGGTGCCACGTTTTGGTTTGGGAGTCCCTAGATTTCTTCTAGCTCACTCCTATACCAGACCATATCACCTATCGAGGTAAGCAGTAGTTGGGTACATGTAATACATGTCTTACCTAACTCAGTTAATCAAGGTTTATTGCCTCATTATCTGACTTGTCATGGTTACCTAGTAACCAACCTGTCACCTCAACAACACTAATTTTTCAGGGAAATCAGTTTTGAAGTTGTTGCTGATGAGGTCCCTGAGTATGGTGATGGTAAATTTGAAATCGGTTATCAACTCTAATTAAATATCAAATACCTTTCTTATCAACAACTATCCATTTTATAAGTAATCCGAATGATATTTTATGGATTTAATTAATAAACCGGCGTAAATTAAACTTGTAATAAACCTCTTGATGGGATGATTGAGTCTTGGTCTAACTAAACAGATGGTCTCAACCAATACCCTACATAAAGGCATAGAATAACTCATTGTACACAAAGAGTGACACATCACTCCTAGTTGACAAGGAACGTGATTGTGACTATTAATCTTTAATTTCTCGTGTTAAAAATAAAAATCTGTGTCCAATAATTTGTCTGCACTAACACAAGTAGAATATCGAGTGTACATAGCCCTAAGTGTTTAGCTTAACGAGGTAGTATGCGATCTTATGTAACCTTAACACTCTATATTCAAAATGGTTTGGCTAACTAAAGTGTTGTATCCAAGGTATAAAAGATCAGCTTTATTTTCGTAAAGTGGTTGGTTTGAACACATATAAGCTTTAAATTGCTCAGTGATTAAAGTGCGTGAACATGTAGACTTGTAGGACGTGAGAAAAACGTCACGAAAATTGAAGTAGGGGAGTTATGGTTTACATGTCTTTGAAAATCACAGTTAACTAACGACATATATCATAACACTTTAAAAGATATTTTCAGAACAAATTAAACTTACTGAGTGACAGAAAGTAAAGAAGCAAAATCTTATGCATTGAATTTACCTACCGAATTCTTTACAAGTAGCTCTGACCTCATCCACATTCCGAACAACTACAAACTTTGGAACAGGTATTTCGTACTTTTTTAGCAATTCCATTGCCGAATATTCATGAACTTTCAAAGTGCGAACGCACTTAACCTATTTTTAGATTTGTTAAATTCTATAAAGTAAATATACATTCTGAAAAAGCTTATTGGGCTCGAAAATTAACTTTCGAAACATTTGCAGGAAGTGGCGCACCGACAAAATGCCGCGGGTCAGATTTTCATTATCAGCGGTATAGATTGTAACTTAGACGAAGAATGCTGACCTTCAAATGGTTCAAAGATTTCTGGATGGAACAGAAGAAGCCTTAGCTCAACGAGCTGCTATTTCGTCCACAACCATTTGAACCATTTGAAGAGAGAAAAAAGAACTGGTAAATTGTGGCGAGATGTCTTTCATCCCTTAAAATATATCAATTTTACTCTCAAAGGGCTCCTGGGAAGTCACTTGGACTATCTCAGCTGGCAATGAATTCCAGAATTCGATCATTTGTAAAGCGCAAATGGCGTGCCTACTGTCCGTTATAGTATCGTATCTCTGAGCTTCAGTAGGTATTTAAGGGTATGCCCAGGAATGTCTGAGATGCTACAAGTCATTAGAAGGTTACCTCTGAGTCACCTTTACTTGAATGGGTGAAGATTCAATGATTTGAGGCGCTCCTCATTGGGTTTAGATTTGAGTCCTCGAAGTGATAAGTTCGAGTGTGTTTTTTGTCATTTTGGAGTGAGGATGTAACCACCATATTTTTATACTATAAATGGTGTCGAATAAAAATGTGTAAGATCAAGTGGAAAGCTCTACCTCTGATGTGGCCAAAAATTCCCTACAACATTGCCAGTGCAAGGTTTACTCAAAAAGGGTCTTCTTCGTAACTAGATTCGGACTTTAGGTCATAAGGTACTAACACTGCTAGATCGTTTTCAACTTGGGTAGCCTGCATCATTTCTCAGATAGACTACTTTGTACTTCGAATGGTCGGAAGTTCATTGTTATCTGCTCAACTTTGAAGTCGAGTCAGGTTCTACCGAAAAGTCGATGTTTGTTGCGAAGGGTCACCTATATAAATTCAGAAAAGAGGTCCTAGTACTGAATCCTGAGCGACCCTATTAGGATATTCTGTACCCTGAGAAAAAGTGAAGTTCATTCTGATCCTTAAAAGTTGATTAGTTAGATAAGATGAGAACCAACCAGTTAACGGTAAACTGACATCTAACAGATTGAGCTTACTGACAAAATATATCATTGACCCTATTAAAAGGTTTTGAGAAGCCAAGGAATTTTGGCATCAACCATCTCCTTGAGATTAAGCATAGCTGTACTTAGGGATTTTAGTCGAGGTCGGTATAGGTACATTTATCTTTGCCGCTAGAATAACAGACTTAATCACAAAACTGTAGAATTGTCATGATGTGACTACCTGATCTGTAAGACCTTACGTAGTGGTCACATCCCTTTCCAGACTGACTCATCCTGTTGTGAAACCCAGAGTTGTGTTGTTGGGAGCTTCTGGAAAACACATTTACTCCGGGCACAGAACAGTACATTTAATGTGGAGAGAAATTAGTTACACAATTATCACGCTTGCAAATCCAAACCTTACCATATCATCTATCCTTCCTGAGTTCACCGTTTCTGACCTCCCCTCCCTGTTAAATGTTGAATGTGAATTTTCTCATTTATTTTATGTTTGGCTTCAAAGATAGTGTGATTGCAAACCAATAGCACTACACTCCATCTGCCCACCGCGATCAGCAGGTTGGTTATACAAACGTGACTCTTCCTAGGACAGAGATGTTTGGATGAGACTTTTATGGCCAGAAAGTAGTTACATAGACTGTCGAATATAAGGAACTCCATATTTTTTGAGGGTATTGAGAGAAGTGCCACTAGCCGGTAGTTTGGAGGCTCACTGTTTCGTTCTGCATAGCCAGTTCAGAAAAAGTGTCCTTCTTTAGATGTTGAAGTTTCTGATACGCCAAGTCAGCTCCCAGGTTCACTTCTGAGAGTTCCATTAAGTCCAATAAATCCCAAACAGTTTACCGATCTTTATTAAAGTCAAGGACAATCAACACAAATGTGATATTTTTACCAAATTATGAATGCTTTGTATTTGGCTGCAAGCTTATTACGAATTCCAAATATATTGCGCTCAGTTGTGCTCATCTGGTTCTACCGTCCTTATATTCCACTATTTCGGAAATTCTTAGTCAGAACATTGGTTCGAATACTTCCAATGGCCATAACACATCAATCGATTTCACACAACAAACAAATGCATGAGACAGGGGGTGAACTCCGTTTTTTCGCCAATTTTTACTAACACGTTACTGTAACATTGTTGTAGCGGGTGGACTTCAGGTTAGATGCGCAGCGTATTTATCGATCGATCCAATGACACATAAAACACGTAAGGACGACCTAAAGACCCGATTGGACTTGCTTTGCTGTCTAGCCCAGCTAGTTGAGTCCAGAACACAAGTCACAGCCTCTGAGATATGAATCATTGTATTTCAGACATACTCTGTTTATATACCAACCAAACGAACCACATAGTACCATAAAATAGAAAACAACATTTACACAATATTTAACAAGTGAAATAAATATCGACCGATAGGAAATGCCCATTTAACGTCCAAGGACACCATTCGACTTAACACGATAACTATTGGTATATTTCTCTGCATACCTAACAAACATCGTTATATTCCTTCTGTATGTTCATCGAATTTGCCGCAGGTCTTAGATACCACGAATGGTGAACTCATGTTGTGTAGTAACCGCGGGGTGTGACTGATTTTTTCTTGGAAGTCACACCATTCCTATTCAACTAGAATGGGCCCCCTAGTCATCCACATAGGTGGCCTAGATTGGCAATGTACAAGTTAAAAACACAAAGGAACATCGATACCCAGGTCTTATTTATATGATATATTAATAAATGGGAACGGCAGAAATAAGATGTTGGTTTAACAATTGCACCTTTTCACTACAAATTGAATCTATGCTAACCACATCTGGAAATTCATTGTGCATTTTTATTTGCTTGACCTTAAAGTAGCAAATTCGAGCTACTTTGTTCGTACATGTAGTGTTATTGGTCATAACCAAAATCCTCGAAGCTGAACATGAGATAACTGGGAAAATAGACTTTCAACATGTAACGCTAAGAGAATGTCACAAACGATGAATACGAGAACATTCATTTGAAATTCAACCTATATGGACAGCATGTCAACGTTTGGTATCGAATCAGCATCACGTTGATTCCGATAGGAGGATAGTTTAGTAGCTTACGGCCCTAACCACCCAATCCTCAAAGCTGAACACGAGGCAACTTGAGAAATATATACTCAATATTTAACGCGGGGAAAAACCCAATGGTGGAGGAGGCGGAAGAAGGAATCGAATTCAATTCATCGGATGACAGAGCTCAGCATTTCAGGCGTGATTTTTGCCGTTTAACTTATCTCTTTTATTCATATTAAATATATTGTTCTGTCTCCAGCCTAAATGTGTTCTCCATCATATACCGGTTATGATTACGACACGATGAATCAGTGTAGACAATGATGTGACTTCCACTTAAGACTTTATAGATTAGGCAGTTGCATGTTGAGCACGGCGTTCCCACACGTGAGCTGGTGCGGATGCATGACCAAGCGCCTTCAGCTAGGTGCGTCCACTAAAACCAATCTGGTCAGCATCCAATGTCGAAAACTTACAGAGCTATTTATTTTGGAGATTTATTTGCCGCTACACACCCCTTGATATAGTTTCGTCGAAATTTTGATGTATGCTTGTCACTGTTTTACTCAGTTGGGATGCAATCTCGACTATTCGCTTTACATTTTTCAGTTCAGCTCCGCTGTCATGGATCACAGTAAAAAAGCTGATACAAGATGTAACAATACGCACAGTTACTGATGGTAAACCAAAAGAATTAACACTACAAACCTAAGTGTCTGTTTATGAGTGTATTCAAACGAAAACAAATAATACCAACAAAAAATAATATATCAAATAAAACGATGATAATAATTGTCATAAAATAATTATTAATTTTAGGCTCCTTCTGAGTCAACAACCGCAAACGGGTTCACTTGATTGACAAAGGTTCCTCTGATCAAGGTGGCACCAGCGGCATGATGAGAGAGATACATCTGATAGTATTATTCAGTAATAATTTAGGCCAAAACTCCAATTCAGTGTAGAATAGCCTGAAAGGATGTTATGACGATACTATTTAGGTGGAAGAACGAACGACAGAGATAACGTTTATTTTTTATAACAATGGTAGTGTGTATATCTATTGGTACAACCAAACGATTATATCCGTTTATTACCATTGATACAGAGAAATAATAAATATCGAATATAGATGTGATTACATATGAAAAAATACAAATAAGGAAAATGTGGTCTTTATTTCGAATATGCATGTCATTAAATCGTACAAATCACGAGTCGTTTCCCTGTATTTTATCAATTCATTTCGATTTATCCATTTACGAACTCATATTCCTTATATTTCATTTCAATTGTATCGAGTATAATTCGTTCAAATTTTCCAGCAATTCGTGCTATTCTGTATAATAACCGTTGGTTCCTATACTCTTATACTCGACCACTGTAATGACTATTGTATCTGTATGTGTGCCCTGTATTCAAAACGCTTACTTCGATATTATATTACCCAATAACAGTGCTCTTTTATGAATCTTTGTCCAAGTTTTTGTCCTTATTCGAATGCAGAACTGTGTTTTGGTAGCGTTTGCCCATATTCGACGACTCACACTCAAGTATTTCTGGTGCTGCCTGTGTATATTAAAGAGCATTAGCTTAAGACTACCTCGGGGCTCATATATTTCGAAATCAGATGGTTGCCTGCCTGCGGTTAGTTTATAAACAATTAGATGAGCTAATACATTTGGAGTAATGGAAACAAAATCCAGAAAATCTGTAGTGGCACTGGACTCTAACCATACGGCCTTTGAAGATGAGCATATCACTACTGGAAAGATTTATATTCAACAATTGACATAAAGAGAAGGTTAACAATGGAGGACGCAGGAACATTAATTCAATTCAATGTATGTGATGGCATTTCTCAGTTTTATATACCAAATCAAATGAATTGGGATTAGAACGTTCGATCATTCTAGTACCATTCTTAGGATTAGTTATATGACATCTGTTTGTAATGTCTTTCAGCCTAATCTATAAGATCTTACGAGGAAGTCACATCATGGTCTACAGATGCATCGTATCGTAACAATTAACAATAAGATATCTGGAGCTTGTAAAGAACACATTTAGGCTAGATGTAGAATAATATATTTAATGTGAGTAAAGACGAGTTATAAAAAATAACCACGTCTACGAGGCTGAACCATGCCATCCAATTTATTAGATTAACTATTTTTCTTTCCGCCTTCTCCATCGTTGACCTCTTCGTGCTAATTGCTGAATATGAATTGGCCTAATTATCTTATGTTAAGCTGTGAGGTTTGTGTAGCGAGGACTAGTACTACTACAATTTCATCAGTGATTTGGTAGTTGTGCCTCTTATTTCGGACACATGTACCTTCTCACTAAGCTACTTCTGACTGACTCTCCGTATCGCATTGGATGATGCTCCTGCATTAACAGAAGCATTTATTTTCTGGAAATGATTTGATTGAGATTGCTGAACACTCATTGGGTAAATAACGAGGTGGCAGTATTTGTTTGGATAATAATCTAAAGCAAAAATTATAACTATATGTAAACCTTTCCCTACCCAACCATTTTTGTATGAATTTCGACTGGGTAAGAGTATGAGTGTCTGAACTAACCTCTACAATTGTTGCTAACTCCAAATCACTTTGGCTTTAGATTGGCATTATCAATGACTATCATAGAGTTTTAAACTATGAGCTGACCACACGAAGAGATTAGTTGTCACTGAAGGAGTGCCCATGTCCAACCTGAAAACTAATTATGACGTAATCAACCACCTCCATCCACCAAACTAGAACATAGAACAAATAATGCCACAAAACGCGAATTTATCGGGGAATAAGCCAGTTTAAGTTGCCGGTCATTACAACCGGAGATTCTAGAATCCCGGACTGTTTTTTATAACTCCTGTACTTTGACCGGGACGCGTCAACTAAGCGTCGATAAATCACAATACGACAGCTTGGTTGGAAAATCGGTAATTGTTGTAAATATACATAAAATGTATGCAAATTCGCAGATACGTTTATAGTACCAGCAGTCGATTTTATCATTCAAAGCACAAGATAAGTGGAATGAGGGGTTAACTTATCCAAACACTCAAATATTTCACTATTCAGTAGAAGAAAACAGGATAGGAAGCGAAAAAGTGACCCCTAGATGTTTTTTTATTATAACAACAGCCTATTGGTTGACTCAACCGACTATATACGTCTAATACAGTTTTTCCTCAGGACTTCAGAAAGACTGACCCATGATCTGTTCAAAATTATCTTCCGTTTTTAATTAGAAACATCTCTATCAGGCCCCCTCTACCTCAGAAAGAACATTGTTCCCAAGGAGTGAGTTTAAAGCCGGATGGCCCGTATTAACTCGGACTAAGGAATAAACCTCTTTCAGTTATCTTGGACTCATCGTATTCGTGACACAGGTAGTACGGAAGGATAATGGGGGTGTATAGTCACGATCTATTAAAGCTTTTTCAGTCTTTATGCTATTAGATTAATGATACATTTCCCTATTAAACTACTGATAAGAGAGCACCATTTAAGGTCAGGACATGTAACAATATACACGAATATATGTGCAGACAGTTTATTGCTCACAGTCCAAAAATTTGCAATTCGCTAGCGTTACATGAAAAATACACCTACTGATTCATCTTAAAGAAGATTCGATGCTTTCTTCATATCCAGTGGAAATAAAAGCAACCTCTCTACGTGTTATTCGCCAGTCAATCTTTCTGGCTGTCGACTAGCTTTTCATCACTTTTAGTCAAAACAAGAGTTTTAACTTTTTGTAAGCCAGATTTTCTTATTTCAGTTTTAGTTTGGAAGGGACAGGAGGTCTGATGGCCTGTGTTAGTCCTGGCAATGGTGGTTTCTCGGTTGATCCAACTTTCTTTTGAAAGGGTGGATGGATGGAGCCTCAACCACGTGCTGAGGTAATGAATTCCACTCATTGATGATTCGATGGGGAAGTCGATTGTCAGGTGACAAGTAATTTGTTCTGGGCTTGTGAACTTTTTTGGAGTGTCCTCGTAAATTCTCTGTTTTGGAAGACAAGGATAATGAGGGCATATCAGGTGCAAATTTATCACGAAGCAATTTGAAAACTGCAATCAAGTGGCCTCTAGTTCTACGATATGACAACGGGAAAAGGTTCAGCTTGGCCAGTCGAGCATCATACGGAAGCTCCGCTATTCCGGGAATCAGCTTATTTGCTGTTCTATGAACCTTTTCCAGAAGCTCACTGCCTTTTTTTAAGCAAAAGCTAGCTGCTTTTATACAGTACTCAAGTTTAGGACGTACGAACACTGTATACGACGTCAAAACGTTTTAGCGTCGACATGACTAAAAGCCCCACGTATTGACCATAAGGTTCTAAAACCTTTGGCGGATTTTGCACGGCAGTGTGCAGTAGTCTTTAAGTCTTGGCTAACGAAGACTCCTAAGTCATTATGTATCTGGACGACAGGTAGCTCAGTGTTATTCATCGTGTATGTATCTGTACCTTGATGACCGATAAGCATCACAACACACTTGGAAGTATTTATCGGCAACTGTCAGATTTAAGACCATTCAGATAATTTCTTCAGGTCATTCAGGAATTCTAAGCTATCACCCTTACATCGTATCGTTCTCCATATCTTGACATCGTCAGCATATTAGCATGACCGATGATGATATGAGACGTAAGGCTGTAAGCATACTTTAGAAAGTCATGTTTCATAACTTTGCTTTATGTGACCTCATAGCTTCCGTTTTACAAATAAAGATTTGTTACGAATTTTACCTATAAAGATAAGATTTTGTTTATCTGTATGTTCTTCCTCCAGTGACACATTATTTTGACTGTGTTGGTTCAGTAAGTCGTGGTTGGCGTTGGCACTCTTTATCGCTGTTAGTATTTCGGAAGTGCACTGTAGATTTATGTGTAGTTTTTTAGTTTTGTTTCATTTCTCAAGGTTTTTCAAGTCTTTGAACCTGCCTGTGCTAATAACCTATCAATATTCTTGTTACAGGCGTTCCGTAGACCTCTGTAATGAGCGACTTTTCTTCGAAATTTGCTCAGCTAAGCGTGCGGTCGGAGAAAAGTAGTCACAATGACTTACCTAACGTTCAGCGTGCCAATGGGGATGAAGAAAAGGGTTCTAAGGGTAACCCATGGAAGCCAAGTAAGTTATTTACGATGCTTACCCCCCCTCAGTAGTCCCTAGTTCCGAAAACAATTCTTTGGAAGCGGACGCTTGGCCTGAACCATCGGCACCTACTGAACAACGGCGTATTACTCGCATTGCAGAGGAAAAGCCCAAAAGTAAGTCGAAGACTAATGTTCATGTCTCTTCAGGAAAGTTGAAGTGGCATAATTACGAAGTAGATGATACTACTTGTGGTTTCCCTCGAGGGCGTGGTCGCCATACAGTTGGACCGTTTGCCGGAGCTAACTACACCAGTAGTAATGTCAGGCCGTTTCGCAGGGGTAAGAGATTAACGTTCTGTAATTCTTCAGGTTATGGAGGTTACCGAAGTCGCATCTTACCTGATGCAAACAGAGGTCGAAACAGTAATGGGTTCTATCGTCATCCTGGTCGTTTAGGAAACGTACGACCAGTTAGTGAACCTAAAGAAAATCTAAACGAACCCAGTCAAAAGAATAGTCCAGTTCAAGCTAGTGATTCGTGTAGCGTCTCAGTTGATGTTCATTTGACTACAGATGTATCAGCTCATGACGAAAAGGTTTCAGATCGCGGTTTACATCTGTCAGAATCAGTTGATGTGTCAGGTCAACAAACAGACACAGACTTGCAAAATAACAAACCAAGCTCAGTTTCCTCTATGCCTAATCCAACACCCCGCAAAGTTTACCGCGAGAGATCCAATGTTTCGTCGCAGTCGGGTAGCCAGTCAACTAACATCCCATCTAATTATGATGCAGGTCCCGTTGGTCGTGCGAGACGATCATATCAACGCCAGCATCAGCCAATGTTCCCTACCGAAACCGATAGTCACAATTTGAATTCACACTCTACTCTGGTTGCGAACTCCTCCATCCAACCTCTTATTCCCTTTCAAACTCTACCTCAAAGTAAGTAATATTCATGTTATGCGCTTACGAATGTTTGCTTTGGTTATATGTTGAGCAGCTAATCACCCGCTCACACATTCGCCACCCAAAATGTTGTGAAACTACTAATCCCTTCCTTAAATCAAAATGATTTACGTCCACAACCCATGACAAATCATTAGCCTATTTATACGAGATCTTTATGTCCGTATATTCTTCATGAGTGACGCCTGAATTCGTTGGATAGGGTCCACATAAGGGCTTGATTAAGTGGGTAGTGTACATGTCTCGACTGCAATTCATGCCAATTGGTTCTAATTTCTTGACATTGTGACTAAGCTTGTAGTGTTCCTCCTGCACCATATTCGCTGTTAAATGTTTTTTGGCGATATATTGATTTTTATTGCTAGTATTCGATCATAGGTGTCTTCGTAATATTGCTCGTATATCCTGGGACTATCGAGTAAGTAATGCAGTTGTTAGGAAACGGGTACTAGGTAAGGATGGCAAATCGATTGGTGAAGTGGTGAAACTTCATCAGTTGAGATGGCTGGGACGTGTTACGTATACCCAACTACCGACTGCCTCGACGTGCGATGTTCATTTGTATAGGAGTAGGCTGGAAGAAAGCTAGGGGCGGCCAGACCAAAACATGGCACAAGTCTTCCCTTAAACTAAGAGATTGAAATCGCTTCATATCTTTCGTTCTACGAACTAATTCTTTCTTCATGTACTACTATGTCCTAATTACAATCTTCTATATATTACCACCTCTGAATTAACTACTTTTATGAATCCGGTGTCCATCTTGCTGTGTTAATCAGGTATGGCAACTTGGACCGATGCATATATGTTCCTGGTCCTACGTTGAGGCTGACTGACTGACCATGAAGTCACTGACAAGTGGATTGAGTCATGTTGGTAGGTGTAGACTATCCGTCTGGGGACCGCGAGATGATAGCAACCGATGGTTAGAGACCCTAAATGACATGGCTCAAAATCGTTTGCAATGGCGCAGGTGCATCCCCTCTTTGTGCTCTCCCAAATTTTAAATCTCTTGATTCCTCCTTGTCTCTTTTTTTCTCCTCCCAAATTTATCTCACTGTATTATACTCTTTAAATCACATCTTCAAACCCTAATCTTTACGATTACTGCTTATACTCTTACTACCTCTACCACTACAGGATTTGAATCGATAACTGCATCTCTGTGCTGTGGTATGGCAACTCTAACTGATGTACGTACGTACGAAGTCCTACGCTGTTACTGACTGATTGCTCTCTCCAAATGCTCCCACAGGGCCGCGCACATACAACCACTGCCAGGGAAGTCCTACTCACTGTCTTCTCGTAGCGGGGTGTTTATGAAATCGAGGATCAAAAGCGTATGTCCGGCGCTTTAACCGGGTTAGTGGATACTGAGGATCAACCTAGGAGAGTTGGAAAACTCTGATTCCATACCAATGGTACACATGAGTTACAGAGTTCTGAGGGGAAAAATGTATGAGCTAATTATAGGTCACCGGCTACTATGGGACTGCATCTCCTGACGTTAGTCCACTGCCTTGTGGATCAGACCTTTAGGTCAAAGGCTCCGGTGTGGCCCTCTAAGAAAATCACCTGCATCGTCCCGGGCACCCGGACAGAATGACATCGCATGCACAAATCAGGTGACTTGTGTGGTGCATATTTATTTTATGCCCCTTTGTACCAATATTTGCGTTTAACCAATAAGTAAAGTCAGAGGTAGTACATTTTGTGGTTGATTACACATTCAATTTTATGATTGTTCTTACTGAACTCGATGTTTAGCATAGTGCACCAACACCTGGGTAATTTTTGACAATTTTTGGTTTGACTATATGCTATACGAGTTCCTGTTGATGATCTATGATCCGATCAGGTTTCGGTTGTACTACCTACTTGATGTATTCCGTAACACTGATCTTGCTATTCATGAGGTGTGATAGTGTATTATAAAATTTCGTCTGAAAGACTTGAGAATCCATTGTTTAGGTTATGGTGTGCTGTCTACATTTAGTCCTGGTGAGGTCATCCAGATTTTGTTCATTCATAATGTGTCCAAAATGTCACCCAATAATTTCGAGCAGTTACCCAAAATCTTCAGTCATACAGGATTGCTGCTGTGCAAATTTTATTTAGAGAGTAGTCGTTTAATCCCAAAAACCATTCTAAAAATCAGTGATTTGTTAACTGACCCCAGCTCTTGATAGATTGACTTCAGTACTAACAGCTATCAATTTGCGGCACCAAGTACATTTTGCTTTTGTGTTACCTATTATTCACGACTAAAAGCGTTACTGGTAAGCTTTATCCACGAGTAGTAGATTATCAAGATCATTGTCCTAAAGAAGATCGTGCGACAACTTAAAATCGGTATCAGTACGTTACTCAATTTATTTTGATCCATGTCTTTGTAATTTCTTTTATATGAATACTATGAGAAAAATGCTGTCTAGTCTGATCTTTACGTCAAATATCAGTCAAGTAACGCTGAAGGGAACAAGCTTAAGTTCTATCTTTCCCGGTGTTATTTCCATCTAGTGCTTAATTGTCTTTAGCGCAGTTGCTCAACCGTTCAACCTTCGGCAACCAAGTTCTCGATTCATGCCTTACTCCGTTTTCGAGTTTTGGCTGGATGTTAGTATCATTATTCTTATTTAAATAGGGGCTCAGAACCATGTAGATAAATCATTAAGCATAGTCGTAAGTTTCGCAAATATAGATACTGCGTTGCTAATGTATTGTCACTCATACCTAAGCGAATGAATCACCGTGCAATTCCTTTGAGAAAATAATAAGCAAATTTAACTTTAATTCTTATCCAATCAGTTTTTGCACATATAATTTCATTACTATGTTAGTCTGCATGCACGACACAAACTTCAATAACTCTAGATGTGTTGATTGGTAAATTCGGATTTGAAGTAAGATAGGATTTTAGGAACCCATGAGTTCGTATAGTAGCCTACACCTGTCTGTCAAGTACCCATCTCTACCCATCCGAGTTTAATACATAATCTTAATTAATCGAGCACTATAGTAGTCGGTTAATTAATCTTCAGTTCTTTTTTTGTTGTTTAGTTGCATATATCATCCCAGGAGCACCTGCAACAATGCTGACCCCTGCCTTACAGATTGCACAAACACCTGCTTCACATACAATAATTCCTACCGTGTCGCTACCAAACACTCAAGTCCTACCCACTCAGCCGACAATACAACATCCTATTGGAGGTCTACCACATCTTCCGGTCGAAAATCTCCCCATACCTATTCTTCCAGATGGATCAGCTGTTCAGTCAGTACATCCCAGTTTCAACCCACAATCATCCATGACGTCTACCGGTACAGAACAACCAATTGATACCCCTGAAGTGGTTGATGTAACTCAGGTCATTGCATACATTAACGAGGTGGGATGGAGAAAAGTAGTTTTTCCCACAAGCCTTCGGGAGCATCGTGCAGTCGCTGCTGCTATAAAAGATGCTCTAGGGTCATCAAACCACGACTTAGCGGATCTCACTGAATCAGCGGTTAATAAAAATGACTTGTCCAACCAGTCAACTACCCAACCTCGTACCGATGATGCACCTTCAAGACCAATAAAAGCTGACGATATTATCATAGTTGAAGATCGCGTGTTTTTTGTCCCGAAAAATGTAAATCGAACCAAGTTTCTAAAGTTCCTATCGAAACTAGATTATATTAAGCATCATGTGTAAGTTAGGTTTTGTTTTACAGCTCATGCTTACTAATAACTGTTATTATAATTAACTCCTTCACCAAGTACTTAGCTGAACCACATACTAAGGGCTGGTGATACTGTTGGGTTGTTATGATGTTTCCGCATAGAATCTCCAAGAAATTAGGCGAAATGCATATCTTTATTTACATGTATAAAAATGAAGTAATGGAAATATGACGTGTCATCTGTGGTTTCTACTTTCAGCTTATGTTCATCACCAAAAATATTAAACTAAGTACTCTTATTTTAATGACATGTGGAGTTTTGTTACTTTTGTTTTTATAGATTGCTGATCAGCGACCCATCCTACACAATAGATCAATTCCGTAATTATGGTTTAATAGAGTAATCGTAACACGTATGTTCTTGACGCGTCACGCGTCACAGATGTACTCAAATAGTTATTCTCTAAGATGTTGCTATTATACCGTGCGGTTTTCGTACTTAAGGAAGGTATTAGCAGGCTGCATACTGTTTTAAATTGGTAAAGTGATTTCGGAAATTAAGTGGTATACTCATCGTTTCCACCTCAGTTTTTTACACTAACGACGTCCTGCTGGTAATAGGCAGTAGTTATGCAGATCGTCGTGTAATTTACCCTAACTTAGTTGGGTTGGAACGTTCAAAAAATTGCTTTCTATTTCGAAGTTAACACCTTAAGAATAACTCGCTTCTGACCCATGCTTAAAAGGTTACATACCTCCAAGTTGTTCAAATAAGTTTAAATAAGCTTAGGTTCACTCCACTGTTAGTTAACAGCGTGAAAACCGGATGTGAGCTTTGGTATTTATGAATTGTTCAGTCCAACATACAAATATGTTTTAGCAAATCTGTATTTATATTATTAAACCAGACTGATAATAGTTTGTTTTCCTTTCTTTAGCGAATATTACTTCAGTGAAAGCAATCTACAACGTGATTCCCACTTGCGTGCGATACTAACTGCCAATCAAGATGTTTGCCCTCTATCCGAGCTGTTACAGTTCAATAGACTTCGCTGGGTGTCCGCTACTGAATCCGAATTGCTAGATGCCGTTTCCAGCAGCAACGTCTTGTTGGTCGTGCTTTCCCCCGATGGATCACCAGCTGGAATTACTCGAGTTTGTCCAACAATGGTAAAACATTTCAATGAAGGCTGTCCTCCATCCGTCGAGTTTGGCTATGTGCGTCCTGTAAATCAAGGTGTAAGTTTGGCAACTTCGGTTTCTGATCAAAACACAATTGTTGTGCAAGTATCTTCAGCATCCGGTCAATCTCTTACACATCCCAATGTTGATCCTTCAAATCAAAATATCTCAATCCTGAGTCCGGTCTCAGCTCATTCATTTGGAAGTCAGGTTTCCGCAAACAGTAACAACACCCCTTTTCCATGTGCAACACAGGTTTTGGGAGTTTCGGGTCAATCCATGAGCTCCGTTCCTCATAATTCGCTTCCGAACTATATTCAATCTTCCGCTCACGTCTTGACTCCGAACAATTTCGGGATTTTGACAAACACTTCACCAGGGAATATGATATATTCTAGTTCTTCACCCTCACAGCAGCACGCGTCAGTTACTTCTCCGTTCTACCAATCCGACCTCGGTCCACAATCTACAATTAGACCAGCACAAGCTTTTCATTGTCCGCAACTTTACACTCAAAACCAGGCTGCTGCGTTTATGGCCGCAGCTGCCAATCAATGTAGTTTGTTAGCGTCAGGGCCCAGCACTACAGTTTTGCCTCCGTCAGACCCGAATACTGCGTCCTTCATATCCGCATTATACCGCCTTGCCACTCCAGGTAGCCCGGCGCCTATTGTTGGGACGTATGTACCTTCCGTTGGAAATCCTAACAACATGTCTCCTGCTGCTCCCAATTCAGCTGTGTTTCTCCAATTTATTCCAGGAGCTCATCCTGGCCAAACTAACGCCTATTTCGCACCTCCAATTAGTTGTCCGCCAGGCACAAACTCACTGTTAAGCCGTTCCGTTCCTGCACACGCTAGCGGAATGTGGATACCACTCAACCAAGGTTCTGGTGCGAACGGTGGTATTGTTCCGACGCTTCCTTACCAACCGTATGTGGCACTCACTCAGGCTCATCCGAGCCTATCGCTTTCCAATAATCCGAGTGGTAACGGAGGGTTGTACGCTGTAACGTCTTCTCACTCATTCCCAACCGCCTTTGGAACTGTTCCTACTTTAACTATTGGTCCTGATGTCTCTGGCTTTGGTGTTCAGAAAATGTTCAGTCATGCTCATTCACTAAGCAGTCCACATAGTTTCACAAATCACCAATCACCCGTTACTTCAAACGCGAACGTGACAGCAATAAACACACCAACCGGACATACTTCTCAAATCAATGTAAATCATAGTTCAGTTCCAGGTTCACAGCCATCAAACAGTAACTTGGCTTTGGGTAAACGAATACCTACAAACAACACTCAAACATGAATCTAGGTCTTTCCATAAGATTTTACCACATCCCTTGCTATGTACAGTGTACAGTTCCCCTTGTCCACAGATTCTTTATAACCTTTTATCCCTTAATAGCTAGCGACATTTCTAAAATTTCAGACAGTTACCTGTCATCTCTTTGCACAGCTATAGCAGTTGTCTAGTCACTAGTTCCTGCATATGCGATATCTGTACTCACAGTTTGTGCCTTGAATCGTTTGTTTTTAACATTTCGAATTATTTTGTAATTAAAAATATGCGTACTTTCTTCCGAAGCTAACCTTCAAATGGCATACGTAGCTAATATCGGACAAGTTTTTACGGTTTGCTGCCTGTGATATGAACCTTTAGGTTTTATGACTTTCGTTCAGGCTGTGCCTGTCATCCATTTGTAGGTATTTTATTCGAACTCAGAGCTGGTTGTCTTAAAATTTAGTCCTCATATTAATTGATGTATTACTTCAGATATAGTTCACAAAAAGTGTAAATGCTTTTAGTTCCCATGTGTTCATGCCCTAAGTGCTCTTCGTCTGTCTTCCAGTGTAGTGGGGTGCAAACTCCCGAAATTAAATTAGGTTTCCTCATTTCTCACTTCCTAATGTCACCTAGTATATTTATCCAATTGTAGTTTACCACTAGTAATTCTTGTTCATTCCATGAATGCTGTCCATTGTAAATATTACCTTTATCATTTAGTCTCGAATGTCTACATTCTTTTATGTTTATCTTACTGGTTTCGGTACCTAATACCTTGCTAACTAATTTGTCGCAACAAGTCTTTAGTGTTTCCTATTATCTTCAAGCTTTCTTATTCTCATTTGTTATTATTCAGATTCTTTAAAAATAAACGTCCAAAAAAATGTGTATCCTGAGTATTTGTTCTTTTTACAGCACTTTAGGTGTTGATAATATCGTTTGTGTAAGATAATACGTAAGAGCATGTTAGTATTTCTGACCGATGCATTTCGGTTGTAAGAATTCCCTTCATTTGCTTGATGGAAAGATTGTGTTCTACCCATGTTTCAGTAATATCATTGAGCTAGTCCTCCCACCACTAAAGTGGCGTATTACGTCAGCAGTCCCGCCAATTCGTGTCCAAAAATAGCGACTAGAGGTCACTCGTGGTGAAGGTAAATCTAATTTATATACAAGGTGGTGCAATGGCAGCGCTGCCTTAATTCTCAAACTATCCTTAGCGCCTCAGAATGTTTTAGAAGTTCACAGGTTGACGTATCTATATAGGCAACTTTATTCTTAATACACTGTCGGTAGTTAAAAATCATTATATTGCTAGTCTACCTATTGACCAATTACCACTCGATACAGAGGGTTATCGCTTTCATATCTTCGAAATGATAAATTGAGTGTATATGTACTTTAGGATTGCGTCGTCCTGCTGAATGAGTGTTATATGTGAAAGCAGTGGTATCTAGTTTGTCAGATGATTGGAGGCGGTTGCCAGTAAATAACGCTAGACGTCGGTGCCTTCCGAATCAGCATTCGTCAGTAAGACATTCGGATTATTGAGGGAACAAGGGCTCTGTGAGATCCGAACATAGGTTATTCGACGTTACAATTTGGGACGTTCCCACTGAACTAGTCTGGTTGCAGCTGAACTGTAAGAATATAGTAGTCACAGTTGATTGTTCACTGTGTGTTGGCTTTTGTCCAAAGTTTCATGTTAGTCACCTCCAACCACCTACCATGATGTGTTTTGTGTTGCATCGAGTCATTCAGGTTGGTTGGCTTACTGAAACTAGATCTGTAGAATTCAATCAATGTTACAGAATTGTACAAACATTACATTGGTCATTACTTAGTGACCAGTCGATTGTGTCTATTTCTGCTGAAATAAACGTTCTCAGTACTTGAGTATACCTGAGCCAATCATAACTAGTACGATTGGGGTGAATTTTGTTTAGGTGGCTAAGTTACATCTCTTAAGAAATGAAATTCATAAGCTATGAATACATTCATGCCTGAATTGTTTGTGATGTATGCAGCTTATGGTAGAACTACATTTATTACAATAGTTTTTATTACAATTTAATCAAGTTAACAATAGGTAGGGAACTATGATATTAAGCTTTATGTTTGGTCCGTAGCACATTGTTGATAGATAAGTGTGAAGGAATAAAGCCATACACTCGATCACGACATTCCTCTCAACTGAAGAAAATTCAGAGGACAAAGAACTAGAGGGTACGTTACCATTGTTCATTCGAGGCAGTCAAAACTTGAGGAATCAGGTGTATAAGTAAGATTTCTTGTGTTCAGTTGTGTAAGCAAAATACGCAATATCCCCCGTTTGTATCCAGATTTTACAAAGTTCAAGGCTTCTGGTTCTAACTTAAGAAACCAGATAATATCACAGTTACAGATATATTTTGGGAGTTCGTTTAACCATTAGATGTGTTATAAAGGGGGACAGTTAATTTTCAAGTTGAAACCTACATCTCCAGACTTAAAAAAGGCAGAGGTGTTAGGAAAGAGTAATCACATAACTCAGTAGTTTAATTACATTTTTTAATTATCGTATTTTAATCTTATGATATTGTGAATTGTGTTCATACGGTGTTATCGATTAATTAGTGTATAACACTACCCAGTTTTACTTATCGCTTATTAATCAGTCTATGTAAAGCACACAAAATTCAATGTTTTCAAACATAGTTTTGATCTATTTTTGGTGCATAATAAATCTTTATCTACGGTCTTTGCTTTTTTCTCTGTCATAATGAAACCTCCAATGGTTGACAACTTACTATGTATTAGAAACCAATCGGATTCATCTGAGAAATTATTGTAATTGATCACTTGGTGATAGTTAGTGCCTTACTGTTTATACCTTATTTTTGATTTATTTCTATCAAGTTATGATATAGTCACTTCTCAAAACGGAGGGTTAAAAATAGCCAACCTTAGAGATACTACATTTCACTTTGAGTCACAAATTTCTGTCGTCAGCTGTAAGAACTTAAAGAATGGGAGCCAGCACATCTGGAACTACTCACAACAATCTCGTGTGACCGGACTTAAAACGTTTCTCAAGCTCTTCATTCAGGCTCTCAGGTCAACAAGACCACTTAACGCTATTTCCTATCTAGACTCCTCCAGGAGAACCATCCTTCTACGGTATGGACAACCAATAAACGCAATTGACCTCATACATTTAACAGCACTGAAGATCACTATGTTCATGTAAGAGTATTTGGAATCTCCAACAAATAGATACTACTGTTGGTATGTCGAACCTGTGTCATTAACATCAACGAAAAATACGATCCCCTACAAACTAAAATTCATATAAATTGAACAAGCTAGTGACTATCTGGACTCAATGACTGCGTAGATAACGCATCTACGTCTAAAGACTCAGTGTAAACATACATGCCGAGGAGCAGTAGATCAAAGTGATGACTTGCTAATAGGACATTTGTCCTGGATCCCACAGTTCCTGCAACTAGCAAGAACTATTTTATATATATATATATATATAAAAGATTGGATGCAATAAAAATTAATCGCAGTAGATAACAATTAGAATTTTTCCTGGCCTTTAAGCAGACGTACATGAGAATTAATCCGTTTTATCCCTGATAAATTACTTCCTTATATGTTAAGCAGTCTTTAATAGTTCTTATGTCACTGGCAGAAAATTGATTATGATTGGTCATTTCCCTAGGATCTTTTGAATTCTGTTATATTAACAATAAAAATGCGGTAAATAAATATGAAATGAAGATAGTTTTAAAAAGAAAAATAATCTGATCGATGTGTTTTCTTCCATATGTGGGAATGTTGTTGGTAGACCAGCTCACATGACTAGTCACATTTTAATAATGTTAAGAACTTGGAATGCTACATAATGCATACGATTATAGACGACGCATTGAATAATCTTGAAATTATCAAATGGACAGAGTATAAGTCAGTCATTTTCTAACTTTTGTACAAAGTCAAAAGGTAATGTTTACGTCATTTAAATGGTTTTTGAATAGTTTATTTAAATCAAATGGCTATCCAATAAAATATTTGGACCTGTTGAATTCACGAATTTCAGATACTACAATCGCAGATTATTTTGACTGGTCATTAATCACTATCTGATATGAACTTATACATAAATGTGCTGTTTTTGAAATATGATGAACTTCGAATAGCACGAGGTCGGCTGGAACGTATTCATTGTTTACAAATTGTGTCTTACTCTGAGTTTTCATTCATTTTTTTGGTTAAATGCAAAGGTATACAAGGACATTGGATGAAGTCAAGAAATTTAATTTTGTGATTAATTTAATGTAGTATTTTTTGATCAGATCAGATGATGGAAGAAAAGATGTGATAATCGGAAACTTGATAAAATGATCAGTTGGTGTATAAGAAAGATGTGGTCACGGTTTAACAGTAACAGTTGTTTCAACATATTAAGTACTTAACACTACTGTAAATGATACATTTATAAGCTTATCTAACAAATTTAGTCGATTTGAAATGGAAAGTATAGACAATTTCCTATTGTAAAATAATTATTTAATATTGCTGAACAAAATGTATGACAAAGTGAGAAACTACAAACAACATTATTATGACCCGACTAGGTATTCTACGCAAATCGAAATATTTAACTTTGATTGGTGAATGTAACTCAATAAATCTTCACTTGAAATTATGGTATGCTACTTCGATAACTCTTGACTCAACGCCCACAGTATTTTTTTAAATAAAATGGTATTTCTCGTCATTCCAACTGACAGTAATGCATAAGAAAAAACATGTATTTTTCTAAGGGTGACCACGGTAACTAGTCAATTAACGCGCAAGTCTGGTAGCACCTAATTCAAGGGTTTATAAATTCAAAATGGAAATAATTAAAAAGTCGTTTCTGTTCGGGTATTTTGGAAATCAAAAGTTGCCAACAAGCATAACAGAAATAAGTAATTGTAATGAGATAAACTGAGATAACTTAAATAAATTGACTTGACTGAAATCTACAAATGGTTTATGTCTGCCAAAATGCTAACTGACTCGTGGTTAATATTGAAAATCCTGCAACCAGTGATTCATAATGAAACTCCAAAGACTTCTGATATTAATTTATTTAACCCCGGAAATAAATCGAAATGATACACAAGTACACTCGTTGTATATTTGAGTTTACTAACACTTATTGACTTTTTAACAATTATCACACCTAGGGGGATTACTAAAACCCAAGATACAAATTACCAGTTAAACAATCGTCAGACATGATAGTGACTTCTGGGTCAGTTTACAAGTTTTAGCATATAATCACAACTGTTTGGTTTCAGTTCTAATTCAGTTTTCGCTTTAATTTATAAAATATTAAACTAAACTAAAGATTCCCTTGAAACTTTTATGGATTACATAAGTGTACAAAATAAACATAAAACTGAACTATGAGAAAAAGTAAATAAAATTTCGAACGATTGTTTATTATATAAAAATATCTACATATTAAATGAATATGAAGATAGGATTGTGCTTTGAAATCAACAGTAATAGTACGAGAAGAAGTAAACAAAAGATACTTTCTTATTATCCATTTATTTCTAGAAAACTTTATATTGATAGTGACTAAGTGTTTGATCTTGCTTATAGTAAGATTATACAATATAAGGATGAAGACAATGATGTATTGTATTCAAAAGTTCTAAATGTGATTAGTTGGATAAAGAGTATTAACTAATATAATGTTTGTCCAGTTCTTTGTCCTGAACAAGTTATATAATTAGAATAATCAATGATGAATTTAAGCCATTCACTTGGAAAAATTATTACTCCCTTAACTGTGATATTGAGTGAAGTGTATTTAAATCCCACAGGAAACAACGGTTTATTCAATATTACAGGTATATTTGAGCGTCAACAAGAACGAAATTTAGGTTTAGGGTTTACTGTTAATCGCTTCCAACCATCTAACCATGGTGTTATGTATTAAAAACGATCATTGCATTTGGTGACATTCATGTTTTAGGTAATTGAATGTAGTTTGTGGGAAATCCTCGACCTGGGTTTAATGCTAGTTAAGACTCACCAGAAAGGCGTACCATAAAAATAATATTACCTGTAGGACTAGAACCTTTCCCATTTAACCCCACATACTTATATATTGCTACTGAACTGTTTAAGCTGCAACTGTATTATTATAATACTAAGATATCTACAACTGATTGATCACTGAGTAGTGAACATTGTTATATTTATCTATTACTTCGGTGACATGGGTTCGAATCTCACATGAAGCACGAGTTCCCTAAAGATTACAGATAAACCTTACCTGATAACAGGACATCTAGGGCGAACATGATTTTCTGTCTAATATTTCCAAACATCTAACACCAAACATAATACATTCGATGTCAAATTACTTAGACTAGTGAATAAATAGCAACTGAAGTGATAGCATTCAGTTAAAACTGAAGAACTACACAAACATTGATTTTTACTTAGTAGTCAACTGTGTGTACATTCAGATTTATTACAATCAAGTTATGTTTTATAATTTAACTGTTTTACAGGAAGATTTAGTGAGACTATAATTTATGGACGAACCGATCAGATATAGATAACAAGTATGGAATTTTGGCGCGAAATTCACCCATACATTTGGCCAAATAGAGTTTTTGCATTATATCTGATGTCAGTTCGTGAGGATTCTAACTGCTTTATAATCCTCAGTAGGTGTGTATTCTCAAGGTCATGTCAACGTCGCTCAAAGGTCGTCCATAAATTATAGTCTAACCGGAGACTTTTACTCATAAAACAGTTTAAACTTTTTAAGATTGTTTTTTTCAATGAATAACACAATTTATACTGGTAAAATAATCATTTAATTAATTACATCTGATGTTATCAATAGGTTTCGCTTACTGCATCAAAACAGTTTTATATTAGTCTCATATTCAACTTGAAAATCTAAGGTATTTTAGTTCGATTCTTGTATAAGACTGTGGTAGGTAACTATTTCAGTGATATTATTCTTTGAAATCGATTCCCTATAATATTAAATTAATCTTCTTAAAACTGTTTAACTAAATGATAGATTTATATTACCAGTATTCTTTGAAACTTTCAATAATTAGACACTATCAGGTCAAAATTAACAGATTATTGACCAATTTTGATTCTATACAACTGAAATATATGTATATATATCACTTATTTCTTTACTAAAAATGTGATTAAAAAGATTTCACGAGAAGACAAAAAAACAATTTCTCTTTGACATAATTGTGTATTGTAATTGACAATACTACTTTCTATTATTGATTAAAATTTGTCGTTTCAGATAATTGAAAAGGAAAATCAATAATATTTGAAATTATCAGTATAGGGTTGTGGAGACTATTGAGTTTTTATCGAGATCATGAACCGACCATTGAAAACCTGGGGGCGCTGAACGGTCGTTTCATCCAAATGTGGGACCCCTCATCGGTGAGCAGCCGCGACCCAGCACACGGGACTCGGACTAGAGATCT